TGGCCTTTAGAAAATTAAAAATTACATGTATGGCTCATGTATTTCTATTAGATAGCACTATTATAGAACATACACTTAAAACGTTTGAGATTTGAGTTCTTCAGATCTCAGGTGCTGAAGGTTGGGGAGTGGGGAGTGGGAGCTAAATAATTCATTTGAAGAAAGGTGTTGTATTATAGGAAGCTGCACATGCAAGGAGTTATCTCTTTCTGTCACTAAAAATAAAGTTACTTATAAAGACTCTGATTGCAAGTTGTGACTTCTTTTCCCTTAAGTTCCAGATGATGTTGCCTTGTTTAGGATGAGAAAGTTGTGTCTGCAATTGTTAAAGTTGGAAGGTGCACATATAAATATATACACACATTCACATATGTACATCCATATACATACACATATACATACATGCACAAACACATGTATATATTTTTGGTTAACTAAATTTCTCTGGGTTTATGTGTACTGAACAGTGTGGTTTTTGAAACACTGAAGATAAACTCAGACTCTACTGGTGCTCACCCTCAGTATGCATTGTATCACCTGGCAACCTTGCTAGAACTGCCAACTTCGACCCAGTGAATTTTTATTTTTAAACTGGAATCTTTTGTTAGTTCACTTTTTATTAGCCCATTAAATAAATATTGGTAATATGAAATTTGAGCCAAATGCTGTGATAGAACCTTCTTTCCATTGATTGGATCTTCTCCTGGTAAGGGGGTCCCTCCCTTACCACTTCTCTTGTTTATACTGTATGTAATCAATTATTTTATGATCTACTAAGAAAGGCAATTAAACTATGACACAGCATTGTTTTTAAGATGCAGCTCTATTTCAGAGATGTCAAAAATGTGAAAAATATGTGCCTTGATGAAATATAGCACCAGTGTTCCATAGGTCTCACTTTTGAGACCCGGATTTATATACTACAGATGAATATCTTGACCTGGATGGCCCTCCACATCCCTTCTTCAGACCTGAATTCATTATGGCTCCCCCAACTTACCTTTACTTTCTTCCCAATTTTCTCAGTAGAAGACAGCATCTCCAGGTGATTCTGAAGCAGATGGTTCTCAGTCCACACAGCTCTGAGAAATACCTTTCTTTAAAGACAGACTCTGTAAGTATTGCTAGTGTTGCAATCTTTAAAGCTGCCATCCAAGGGTTTGCTATTTCATTGTCAAAGTTTTCTCTCAGGTAATTTACAAACATGCTAGGGACATCAACCAGCCTCACAATGCATCCTTAAGAAACTACTAGAGCTGATCAATGAATTCGGCAATGTAGCAGGATACAAAATTAATATCCAGAAATCAGTTGCATTTTTACATGCCAATAACAAACTAACAGAAAGGGAAATTACGAAAACAATCCCATTCACAAATGCTAAAGGAGTAAGCCTAAACAATGATGTAAAAGACCTGTACTTGGAAAATTATAAGACACAGAAGAAAGAAATTGAAGATCCTATCAAGATTCCCAAGACATATTTCATAGAATATCATATTTTGCTGTGTATAATGTACACCTACATTTTTGGCCCAAACTTTCTGGAAAAAAATCTTTTGATTTTCTAATTCAATTATTTATTTATTTATATTTAGATACTTGCTCTTTATATTATAAAGGAATTTTAGCATTTATTTTTGAATATATTATGGTACAAGAAATTTTAAGTAACAAACAAAACACAGGAACAGATACAAGGTATTTCAGGCATTACCCATAACGTGCACCTTTATTTTTCCCCTCAAAAATTTGGGCAAAAAGTGCACATTATGCACAGCAAAATACAGTATTTCAAAAATTTATATGGAACCACAAAAGGCCCTGCATACCAACAGTGATCCTGAGAAAGAAGAACAACATTGGAAGAATCATGCTGCCTAATATCAAACTATACTACCAGGCCATAGTTATCAAAACAGCATGGTGCTGGCATAAAAACAGACACGTAGATCAGTGGGACAGAATAGAGAGCCCAGAAATAAAGCCACACCTTTACAGTAAATTAATATTTGACAAAGGAAGCAAGCACATACAATGGGCTAAAGATCATTTATTTAATAAACAGTTTTGGGAAAACTGGACAGATATGTGCAGAAAAATGAAACTACACCACCTTCTTATATCACACACAATAATAAATCCAAAATGGATCAAACGCTTAAATTTAGACCCCAAACCATAAAAATTGTAGGAGAAAATATAGGCAGCAAAATCTTGGACATTGATCCTAGCAGTATTTTATTGGATATATCTCCCCAGGCAAGGGAAACAAAAGAAAAAAAAAATAAACAAATGGGACTACATCAAATTAAAATGTTTTTGCACAGCAAAGTAAATTGTCAACAAAACAAAGACAATCTACAGAATAGAACATATTTGCTGATACAACTGATAAGGGCTTAATATCCAAAATTTATAAAGAACTTAAACAACACAATTAAAAAATGGGCAAAGGACCTGAATAGACACTTCTCCAAAGAGGACATACAGATGGCCAATAGACATAAAGGTGCTCAATGTCACTAATCATTAGAGAAATGCAAATTAAAACCACAATGGGATACCATCTCACACATGTCAGAATGGCTATCATCAATCAACCAACAAACGAAAAGTGCTGGGAGAAAAGGGAACCCTTTTTCAGTTGGTGGGAAAGCATATTGGTGCAGCCACTGTGGAAAGCAGGATGGATATACCTCAAAAAATTAAAAATGGATCTGTCTTTTGACCCAGTTATCCTGCTGGGAATATATCCGAAGAAACCCAAAACACTAATTCAAAAGAACATAAGCACCACTGCATTCACTGCAGCGTTATTTACAATCACCAAGATATGGAAGAAGCCTGAGTGCCCACCAGTAGTTGAGTGGATAAAACAACTATGGGACATTTACACAATGGAATATTACTTAGCCATAAAAGAGTAAATCTTACTCTTCGTGGCAGTATGGTTGGACCTGGAGAAAATTATGCTAAGTGAAATAAGTGAGTCAGAGAAACACAAATACCGTATAATTTCACTCATATGTGGAATCGAATGAACTGAACTACCAAGGAAAATGGGGGCAGACTCATAAATGGAGTCAGATGACAGCTGGTAGAATGGGGAGGTGAGGGGGTGGAGGGACTGAGCAATAAGGAAAAAGGACTCATGGACATGGACAACAGTGTGGTGATTGCTGGGGGGAGGGAGGTATAAAGGGACTAAATGGTAATGGAAATATACAATAAGGACTTTAAAAAACCCTAGCATCCGTTATATGCCCAATGAAATTAAGTCAATTTTAATTAGGATCTCACTTACATTAAAAAAAAACTAGACTTTTTAGAGAAGTGCCTGTTTATCTTAAAACCTTTTTGTTATTTAAGACAAAATATTACCAGCTTGTGCTTTAATATTTAAATATCCATCCCATTAAAACTTTAACTAAAGCATCACTTTTATAATGACTCGTAGGAAGGAAATCTGTTCTGGGTGCAGCAAAAAGGACACAGCGAGGAGGAGTCAGGAGTGACCACCTAACCCTGGTGACCAAGACACGGTGACGCTGGTGCAGAGCCCCACTCCTGTGGGTGCTCTGGAGCGAGTGCAATCGTGACTGACTCAGCGTCAAGACTGAGTAAATAAATGTGGAACGTGTTAGACTTAATCTGTATGTTCTGAGGGCACTGCCCTGTTTTTATTACTTTATCAGAATGAGCCCATTAACATACCATACATACCTCTAAAGCATCATTGTTCTCCATGAAATCAAAACGACCCATTTAAAAGCTGTACATGGTTTAATTTGGTGTCTCAACCGAGTTAAGACTTAAAAGGCGACCAAGAATAAAAATTCTGATACCACTTTTTTTAATAAAAATGTTTTATTTAAAAATATGATTTTTTTAAAAAAAGAGACCACTTTTATATACAGTTGTTTAGAAACAGTCAAAACCACAATAAAATAAACCAAGATTTAGAAATTATGATTTGTAACATATACAATACTGGTGGTGAACAAGATAGTTTAAATATATGACTCTTTTATTATTAATGAAATGTGATTAACTCACATCGGTTAAACCCAGTGGTGGGACTAAAGCAAATGTCTCGTCTGAATTCTTTCCTCTTCAGGAAACGGCCGCCACCCTTCCCAGCAGACCCAGACACGGGAGCGGCTGGGCGGTGTATTCGTATTTCTTTCAGTGCCTCTGTGTCCAGAAATACAGCTCCACCACGTGTATTGTCTATTTTTGTCTTCAAGTTTTTTCATGTGTGGCTATAGCACCTGGTCATCTATATACCAGGCTTTTTTTTAAATTTTAATTTTTTAAAACGGGTGTTCTGAAGGAAAGCAGCATGAGCTGCTGGTGACAGCACAGGGCTCGGAGCTAATGCCTCCAGGATGTCGACACCCAGGGTGACTTTGGCCCCCATGCCGCGCTCTGAGCAGCTGCGAGCCGGCCGTTTTTAGCACGGTACTGTGGAAACCTCGCAAACCACGTTCACACACCTGATATAGATCTGTGATAAAGCTGGAGGTAATGGTTTGTCGAACTAAAGTGCTATTAACTACTACATTCAAGAGGCTATCTTGATTTCACAATCAAGTTTTTAAAATTTTTTACAGCCACTGCTTCTCAAACTGGGGAACCCTAGCCATTTTCCTGGATTGTCAATTTTACTCAAAGATTTAGAAAGAAGTCGAAAACTTTTCCAGTCTTAAAAGTTTTGTCAAATATATTCACAAGCCCAATCAGAATACTTTTAAAGAAGTTACAGGTTGATATTTTGTTCTTTGCCCTATCTCCACTGAGGAGTATTTCAGTAGTAACATCTGTGAAGCAATGCCCAAAGAGACCCTGATTTCTGAGAGTACCGCCAGGTTCTTACTGACAGTAAATAAAAATAAAACTCAAAGTTTTGACTCATTCTCTTGAGTTTCATCTTCAAAAATTACATAATTCTCTCATTATAGACAGATTGGGAAGAAAGTCAAGGAAAGAACTCTGGGTTGATTTGTATTTTACATTGTTTAATAATTAGAGGAATGCTGCCGTCAGAGGAGACTGCTGGCTTACAGTGAAAAATACACAACATTTGCCACAAAAATAGAGGAACCCCTGAATCCAAAACACCAGAACTCGACGCACTGGAAATAATGGAAACAGTCGTCATGGGTGGTTTTATCCTCCTCCCAGAGTCACGTTAAACTCGGTCGTCCCTGTCCCTCACATCTCTTCTGGTTGAAGAGGTGAGTACAGGGTGTCTTTCTGGGTTACTTGTCATTATTACACCCCTCAGAACCCCCAATTCATGAGGGATTCTTTTCTGACTCCAAAGGGATCCTTCCATATGTCTTGGGGGTAAGCCCAAACTGCCTTGTCAAATACAAAATTGATGGTCATTCTCTGTATAAATAGTATCTATAAAGAACAATTTAAAGTTGCCAACAAAATTATATGAGCCAAATTTACAAAGTTTTTTTTTTTAAAAACAATGTATATCAACTTTATAAGGCCATGTAAGGAAATGACATCTGTAAATAAAGTTATCATCCCACACATTTAAAATGACATAGTTAAATATGGTATTGGATCCAAAATAATCCAGAGAGTTTAAGGACTAGTCTCATCAATCCCATAGTTTAATGAGGCCATCCCAACCGCAGGTTATGACTTTAGATGTCTCGTGAGGGTGCCACACCGCACCTATGCACACTTTGTCATGAGCTTTAAACCGACTGTAGAGTTTTGTGGTCTTCCAGTCCCAGATGTTTAATTTTCCATTTCCATCTCCTGAAATCACATAGCTACAATGGGAAGAAAAAGAAATTCAAATTATTCAAACTCTTAAAACTGGTAAAGTAAATGAAGAACAGAGGAAGAGTTTATCTTTTTTATTGTAACATAAAATATCAATGTGACTATACTACTATATATATTGTAACATATATACTCAGTGAGAAGAACACGGTAGAGCATAAAGCAGTCTATAATTTAAACTTCCATCAAAAACCATCCCCACTGAGCACCGATCTAAGAGTAAAAAATAATTTTTAACTTAAGACTGAGAGACCCAGGGGCTGCAATGAATGTGATGTCACAGTCCCCCTCCAGACAGTCAGAAACTGTGTAGGGAACCCAGTGTCACACAGAGCCAGCAAACACATTAGATTCTTCTACTATAGTGGACTCGACCACCTTCACGGTTACTTTTTGGCTCCAATACCTTTTGAATACATCTAAGACGGACTCAGAGGTAGGAGTCTAAGGCCCAATTATCAGGCTAAACATATAAAGCTACAGGGATCTGTGAGTAACTTATACCTATATACTTTAGCTAAGAATGGGGAAATAAATGCAGAGTTTCACTTAGAAAGACTATAGGCTTCACAAATCTAGTATGACTTAGAATTATTCCCATCCCAAAGTAGCTGGATTTGAGATTTCAGCACAGAAAAGATGCAGTGAAGTTGTTAACTTCAACAATGCAATACAGAATTAATTCTTCTGGTGTGCAATCACAGCAATATGGCGATGACAGTCCTCCAAATCTTGCTCAGAAAAGCAGAGAGGAAAGAAGGCACTGCCTACACAGGCAGGGATTTACCATGTGGTTGAAGGGCACAAGACTGATCACTATGAGGAGGCATATGAAAGAACTTGCCCTTTCACCTGGCATTTTGACAATCTGCATATTTCCCATACAATTACATATGTGAATGTGGTGTGTAAAGTATTATTATTTGTACAACAGAAATTTATATCATCATATTTGAATATCAGAACACGTGAGAAGATTTAAACTTACCTCATGTCTGGTGAAAAGTCCACCTGACAAGCATAGCCAGCTACCATATGGCCCTTAAAAATTTTTTTCTTATTTAATCTAAATCTGTTTTGTGCTCCAAAAATTAAGATTTGGTTGTCCATTGATTGGCATGCTAGCCATTTCCCTGTAAATTCAATAAATGAGATATTTTAGAGAAAAACGGAAAAATTTAAAAAGAATTTTTATTCTAAATATATTCAGTCACCAATATTCATTTGTTCTCAACTACTTTATATTAACAGGAAAATAAACTTACCACACCACCTGTAAAGTGTACACATTTGTTGCTGGCAAGAGGTGTTTACATCTAAAGTAATGGAACTGGCTCATACAATCCTATGTCATGAGCACTCTTCATATATAAACTTTTTTTTGGTTTTGTTTAAATAAGGATATACAGATATTCTGGGTTTGGTATTAACTGAACTAAACTAGAATTTACATGAAATTAACCTGTATTAAATATAGACAATAGAACTATAGGGAGAGACTTCTCTATGTTAATTATATAAAAGGAAAGATCAACTTTAGGTGAGAAAAACTAGGATTATCAATAAAATTATAAAAAAGTGATTAAAAAATTTTTAGTATCTGTTGTTGAAGGGCCACATTGCTTTTATCCAGCCAGGATTTCCCAAAGCCCCTAGAGCCCAAATTGCAGTCTTTTTGCATCCCACACACTTGCAGACACTAGTAGCTAAGGGAATGATCCTAACAATGCTCACAGTCTGAGAGGGCCAACGGCCTGTTCAAGATGGACAAGCTATCTGTAATGTGTACTTTAAAAACACACCACATAAAATGCACGTGCAGCGTCAACTGGGACGAAGTCTACAATATGGTGGTTACTAAAAGAGGACCCAGTTGGGTTGCTCCTCTCATTACGATGATAGGGCATCTGACAAAATGATTACTGACTGGCCTGGGGCAGGCGCCCCAAGACAAGAGCAAACTGCTTCTTACCTTCTTGTCCCTGTTCTACACACACAGTGATTCTGCGAGTTAACAGTAGCTTTGATGACAGTGCTGCCCAAATACCAGACATTCCCCTTTCACACCCTCACGCAGAGCTATAATTATATCAGTGCACTGTCAGGACATCTGCAGTACACAAACAGTATTAAATAGATTTATCTTCTTTATTTTGCCTAAGAAAATATTTTATAGTGCATTGTTAAGATATTCTTGTTATGGGGAACCCGGTCAAAATTTTCTATCCACTGAAAGAAAGAATTCACAATCAATCACTAAATAAGTTGTGGAATACCATTCTGGTGGAAGGAGAATTATTTCAAACCTCCCCACCCCCCTCATTCTCAGATGGAAATACTTAGATGCCCAGTCAATATTAGTTGCCAATAGTTTCTTTTATTTTTATTATTTTAAAAAAGAGACTGGGTGAGGTGACTCACATGTGAAAACCAAGAGTTATTCCTAATAATGAACAGATTTCCTTACGCAGCACGGCACCGTGGCAGACCGCAGAGAGAACGGCCAAGGTTCTTTCAAACAGAAACCACACCATGTCTCAGAAGCTCGTTTAAAAACACATTCCCTCTACTAACTCACCGTTTGGAGACAAAGTCACTGCAGGCATCGAGTGCATACTGGGTTCTGCTATATACTTGAAATCCACAGGGATGTCCCTAAATAGTACAACAGAATAAGTAATTTTTAAAAAGTACCTTTAGAAGAATTATCCCTAAACCAGAATAGATATTCTTGAAATGTTATACTTAATAACCTTTCATAAAACTTCCTGGGGGAAGAAAAATCACAAAATGACATCTGTCGCTTATTGTAAATCTTTTACTTCACAAATGACTTTCTGTGATAATTATAACAGTGTCGATGATTTAGTTTTTAAACTCTATTTGATTTAAACTTTGGTCTTTATGTTAAAAAAATCTGTTACTGAAACTTGTTTAATAATGAGCTCGTCTAAAAATGTATCATGGTAGGCAGAAGCAAGAGGCAGAGGCAAGCCTGCGGGGAAACATTCTTATTTTACTTGCCACTCAACCTTAACTTCATTCTGCAAGGAGGTGGGAATGCTAGAGAGCCTTCAGCAAAACGAGCGGAGGGTGCAGCTGTACAGGGATCTGCACGCAGGCCGAGCCCCTCCAGAAAGGAGGTTTCAGGATGGGCAAGCAAGATTAAGTGCTTGGTACCGGGTCACTTTCTATTTTCTGTTTACATGTAAAATATTACAAACATGAATGGCACAGGAGAAACAGCATTAAAAAAGTCTCATGTGAATGATATAAAAGATAAAACAAAGCAAAAAAATCCCACACCTAGTCACCTAAATTTAGAATCATCAGAAGTTCAAAATGCCTTTCCCATTTTTAATATTCTCCATGATAAAAAATCCTTCAGTAATTCTGAAGGATTTTAGCCTTGTTACTTTTCATGACAGATCAAAAATGCTTTTAAAGAGTAGCATGTGGAAAAAGTAATCTCATGTTATCTCAGAATACAAAGCAATTTCAAACTATGGTTCAAGTTCTAAGACTTTACCTAAGTGGAAAATAACAATAACAACAACAACAACAACAACAATTTGCCTTTAAGTAAGGATTTTCTCTATCTATCCATAAGAAGCAACTGATTTTTAAAAAAACCCTATCAAGGTTTTGGTTAAAGGAAAGCATTTTCAGGTACAACCTGGGGAACAGTAGCATTTATCAAACTTCCGACCCTTTACACATCTAAGGTATCAGTGAAAACTGACATTCAGAATGACCCAAATGTATTGAAAAGAACCTCAATTTGAAAAAGGTTTAACTGTTTTCCCTCTTCATATTTATTAGTGGCTAACAATTTTTTATAACTTGAATTAAAACACAAGTGCATTTTCTAAATTAAATTACCCATAATCCAGGTTCATGTCAAAATGTTTTACTGAAAGTAAACAAAAAATGTAAACAGATCCCTTATTTCAATGACTCTTGATACAATAAGCTCTAAAACAAGTAATTAATCTGAACACCCTGTGGCCTTAATTATTACTAGTAAAATGTCTGCTAGGCATAGTTATATTTAATGAACACAACACTATTTTCTAATTAGAAACTGTAATTCAGTATAATAAACTAGTAACATATACCTTACAAATAATCTTCAGTCTGGAAATGAAATTATTTAAAAAACCCTTACAACAATCTATGAAAACTTAAAGCTAAAAGATAAACAACAGTATCAACCTCTGCAAATTTTTCTTTTAAAAATATTTTAACAACACAAAGCATTATAAGACAACATGTCTATGATACTTTATGAATTTCATCAATTAGAATACCACAGGCTGCTCAGTGTCTAATTATAATTTCTTAATCTCCCTTAAAATTATATGGTATTGCTTAAGAAAACCAAGTTTCCTTGGACATGTTTTCCTGTATCATTGTGCTACTCTAAACAGGTACGGGGTGTAAAAGTTTTAACAAACACCACCTATCTGAAAGCCCCAGTGATAATTTTCCTGACTACTGTCGGAGTCAGTTCTCATTTTAAGGTGGTCAGGGCATCCCTTTTCCTCCTGAGCACGCTGCCAGTGTCACCAGTAACTGATTTTGGGGGTGGCTGTGTGTGGTGAAGACAGCTCTAGGGATCCTGAGGTAGTTTTGCTTCCTACTTGTCTTTATAGCAACACTGATCCTCACATTTATCGCTTTCTGACTGTTCAATCTAGATACAGGTTATCCTCTCTCCGCCAGACCCTTCATTCATTTAACTATCACCCATATGATTAAGAGCCCAAGTTGTGGATGTTTTATGTAAGCCTCATGGTATCCACAGAGCAAAAACCTGTAACAGAGATGTACAAGAGAAAGGGAAAGGAATCAAAGCATACCACTGCAGCAAATCATCAAGTGATACAGGATGAGAGAAGAAACAAAGGAACTAGAAAACCACCACAAAACAATCAACCAAATGACAATAGTAAGTCCATAATTTAAATTTACATTACTAAATAGACAGGGGGAAGTTAAGAATAGTAGAGGAAATGGAAAAACCAATGAACTTAACATGTACAACCCATGGACATGAACTAAGGAGGTGAATGCTGGTTGGCGGTGGGGGGGGGGCGGGGGGGGTGGTGGTCCAGGGTGGAGGGGTATAAAGGGGAGAAAAAAATGGAATGACCATAATAGGATAATCAATAAAACATACTTAAAAATAAATTTATATCTACTTTAAATATAAATGGACCAAATTTTCCAAAAGATACAGAGTAGCTTAATGGGCTAAAAAAAAAAATAAATAAATAACAAGAACCACCTACATGCTGCCTACAAGAGACTCACTTCAGCTGTAAGGACACACATAGACTGAAAGCGATGGGATAAAGATGTTCCATGCAAATGGAAACCAAAAGAACACAGAGATGGCTATATTTATATCAGAAAAAATAGACCTTAAGCCAAAAACTGTAATAAGAGACAAAGGAGTAAGAGACATGGTAAAGGGGTCAATTCATCAGAAGGATATAACAGTTGGAAATGTTTATGTATCCAACATTAGTGCAACTATGTAAAGCAAATATTAATAGATTTGAGGGAGAAATAACTTATAATACAATAATAGTAGGGAACTCCAATACCCCGTGTTCAACAAGGGATAGATCATCCTGACAAAATCAACAGAAAACACTGAACTTAAATAATATGTTAGACCAGATGGACCTGACTGGTTCATACAAAACATTCCAACCAACAGCAGCAGAAGACACATTAGTTTCAAGTGCACAAGAAACATTCTCCAGGACAGACCACATATTAGGTCACAAAATGAGGCTTAATAAATTTAAGAAGTCTGAAATCGTATCAAGCATCTTTTCTGACAACAATGACATGAAACTAGAAATTACAAAAAAACTGGAAAATTTACCAATATGTGGAGATTAAACAGCATGCTGCTTAACCAAAAAGAGGTCAAAGACATCAAAAGGGAAATAGAAAAATCTTGAGACAACTGAAAATAGAAACAAAACATATCAAAACTATAGGATGCAGCATAAACAATTCAAAGAGGAAAGTTTACAGTGACAAATACCTACATTAGAAAAAAAAAAGATTTCAAAGAAAAAAGAACCCAAGCCCCAAGTTAGTAGAAGGAAGGAAAAGACAAAGACCAGAGAGCAAATAAATGAAAGAGAGACTAAAAAAATAATAGAAAAGACCAATACGGGGTGGTGAACACACACTATAGTATAGAGATGATGTGCTGTAGAACTGTGCACCCAAAACCTGTATGATTTTGTTAGCCAGTGTCCCCCACTAAATTCAATAAAAAAATCAATGAAACAACTTAAAATATTTAGCTAGACTAAGAAAAAGACAAGAGATGTAAATAAGTAAAATCAGAAATGAAAGGAGATATTAACAACTAATAATACAGAAACAGTAAGGATTGCAAGAATACTATGAAAAATTATATGCCAACAAATTAGATAACCTAGAAGAAAAAGATGAATTCCTAGAAACATACAACCTACCAAGACTGAATCATGAAGAAATAGAAAAACTGAAGAGATTAATAACAACTAAGGAGAGATGAAGTAATCCAAAACCTTTCAGGAACAAAAAAGTACAGGAACAGATGGCTTCACTAGTGAACTATACCAAACATTTAAAGAAGAATTCGTATCAATCCTTCTCAAACTCTTCCCAAAAACGGAAGAAGAGGGAGCACTCCCAAACTCATTTTAAGAAGCCAAAATTATAGCCCAATGTCCCTGGTGAACATAGCTGCAAAAAGTCAACAAAATATTAGCAAACCAAATTCAACAGCACAATGTAAGTATTATACACCATGACCACGTGGGATTTTTCCCTGGGATGCAATGATAGTTTTGAATATATATAAATCAACATATGTGATACACCACAATTAACAAAATACAGGATAAAAATCATGATTATCTCAACAGATGGAGAAAAAATAAATTACATACTTCAACACACTTTCATGTTAAGAAGTCTCAAAAAACTGGGTACAGAGGGAACATACCCATATGTGACAAGCCCACAGTTAATACACTCAACAGTGAAAAAGCTCAAAGCTTTTTTCCTCTAAGATCAGGAAAAAGACAAGGTTGTCCACTCTTACTACTTTTATTCAACATAGTACTAAAAGTCCAAGCCAGAGCAGTTAGGCAAGAAAAAGAAATTAAAGGCATCTAAATCACAAAAGAAAAGGTAAAATCATCTCTGTTTGCAGATGACATTATATATAGAAAACCCTAAATACTCTACCAATAAAACTGTTAGAACTAATAAGCAAACTCAGTAAAGTTGCAGAATACAAAACCAATATACAAACATTAAACTACTAGAAAGAAAAATTAGGAAAACAATCCAATTTACAACAGCAAAACCCCCCCCCCAAAAACCCCAAAACCCCCAAAACCAACATCAGTAAAATACCTAGGAACAAATTTAACCAATGCAGTAAAAAATCTATACACTGAAAACTATAAAATATTAAAAAAATTGAAGACATAAATAAATAGAAAGATATTCCACATTCACAAATTGAAAGAATATTATTGAATTGTCCATAATACCAAAAGTTATTTACGACTCAACACAATATATATCAGAATTCTAATGACACCTTATATAGAACCAGAATAATCCTTAAATTTGTATGAAACTACAGTAAGACTCTAAAGCAATCCTGAGAAAGAACAAAGCTGGAGTAAGCACATGTCCTGATTTCAAACTATGATACAAAGCTATAGTAACCAAAACAGTTTGGTACTGGCATAAAAACAGACACAGTGATCAAATGGAACAGAACAGAGAGCCAGAAATAAACCCACGTGTGCATAGTCAATTTTCAACAAAAGAGCCAAGAATATGCAATCAGGATAGGACAACCTCTTTAATAAATGGTGTTGGGAAAACTTGGTATCTACATGCAAAGAATGAAACTGAACCCCTATCTCACTCGAAATGGATTAAAGATTGGAACACAAGACCTAGAACTGTAAAACTCTGGAAGACAACATGGGGGATAAACTGCTTGATCTTAACCTTGGCAATTAACTTTTGGATTTGATATCTTCGTCAGGCAACAAAAGCAAAAATAAACAAGTGGGACTACTTCAAAGGAAAAAGCTTCTGTACAGCAAAGAAAACCACCAATAAAATGAAGAGTCAGCCTAGAAAATGGGAGAAAATATTTGCTAGCCAGTATCTGATATGGAGTCAATATCCAAAACATATAAGGAACTCACAGAACCAACAGCAAAAAACTAAATTAAAAAATGGGAAAAGACCTGAATATAGACATTTTCCCACAGAAGACATAGAAATAAATATCCAACAGTACATGAAAAAGTGCTTAATGTAACAAATCACCAGAAAAATGCAAAGCAAAACCACAATAAAATATCACCTTACACTGATGGCTAATATCTCAGACTAGAGATAACAAATGGTGAGGATGTGGAGAAAATGGAACCCTTATACACCACTGGTGGGAATGTAAAGTGGTGCAGCCACTGTGGAAAAAAAGTATGGAGGGTCCTCAGGAAATTAAAGCCAGAACTACTATATGATCCATCAATCCTACTTCTTCTGGGAATGTGTGGAAAGGAGAAGAAATCGCTGTGTCAGAGACACATCTGCACCCCCATGTTCAATGCAGCATTACCCACCAATGCCAAGGTATGGAAACGACCTGAGGTATCTGTCAATGGGTAAAGAAAATGTGGCATTTACATATAAAGTGGAATACTGTCTAACCTTAAAAAAGAAAGAAATTCTGCCATTTGTGACAACATGGATGAATCTGGAGGGTGTTACGCTAATTTGAATGCTTAAGACAAATACTGCATGCTGTCACTTTAGTGTGCATTCTTAAAAAAAAAGTTGAAGTCATAGAACCAGAGATTAGAATGGGAGATTAGAAGCAGAGATTAAAATTAGCTTTAGTATTTCTTAACTTTAGAAAAGTGTTTTTTCCCCCTCTAGGAAAGCAAAATTAACCACCATATTCTGATTATATTCTGTAAGTAAAACATTTGTTTTCTACCAAATGGACTATAAATGGCAGAACACAAAGAGGATTTCATGGAGCAATTTCCATTACTGAATAGTCAAAATGTAGATATTTTTAAAAAATTGAGAGATTATTTCAATGTTTTCTTTGGGTTGGTTCTGAGGCTAGGATCTTATGCTCAAACTCCAGCATAACCTATATCGTCTATACATTTGTGGCCTCTACTTCCCATCAGCCATTTTGCAAAGATGACTAAGATAGCTAATAAAGAATCTAAGACTGCACTACAAAACCTTTTCACCACTGCCAGAAAAATGACTCAAAATACATATCCTTTAGATAGATTCTCCAAAGACTATGACAAGTAGTATGTTTATATATATATATTTTAAGATTCTATCCATTTATTTTTAGAGAGGGAAGTAGTAGAGAGAGAGAGAGAGAGAGAGAGAGAGAGAGAGAGAAACATCAATGTGCAGTTGCTGGGGGTTATGGCCTGCAACCCAGGCATGTACCCTGGCTGGGAATCGAACCTGTGACACTTTGGTTCACAGCTCGCGCTCAATCCACTGAGCTACGCCAGCCAGGGCTGCATGTTTACATTTTTTAAAAAGGTTTTATTTATTCATTTGTGGGGAGAGGGGAAGAGAGGGAGACAGAGAGGGAGAGAAATATTGATCGGCTGCCTCTCATGTGTGCCCCAACTGGGGATCAAACCCACAACCCAGACACACATCCTGAGTGGGAATCGAACTGGTGATCTCCGCTTTGTGGAACAATGCCAAACCAAATGAGTCACCACCAGTCCAGAGTGTGTTTAAATTTTTATTTCCATATTCTGGATACTTAAGTAGTTAAAACAGTTTGACTGGCAAGCCACAAATCACAGTTTTGAAAATATTTAACTAGCTGCATATTATCAGGGTCTATCTTTGGCTGCAGATTTTTAAATTGCTTGCTTCATATAATCAGATTTTCTACTGATAGAAACTCACCATTCCCAAACTCTTAGGCTCTTATCATCAGATGTGCTCACAAATCTCCTGTTTTCATCAACAAAAACAATGGTGTTGACAGCTCCCAAGTGCCGGTCATATTCCTGCACAATTTCTCCACTGCGAATATCCCACTGTGCATCCATCGAGAAGAGATAAAGACAGAGGTGGAACAAATTAATGAAAGCAAAGATTGTAATTATGGAAAGTGGACAAAAAAAGAAGATCTCCAACACCCTTTTTTAATGATCACACTGTTTTCTACTAAGAAGAGCATCAGCAAACCCTAAAAATAGCAAACATTAAACAAGTTAATATTCCTTATTCTGTCCCCTCATACAACATAAAGCTCAGGAATCTTTATAAGAACACTGTGAGAAGACTTACTTGTACAATCTTTTTATCAGACATCCCGGCCACAAAGAGATTTTGCTTATCTTCATCAGGATTAAATTTGACACAATAGGGTACTTTTCGGTTTGTGAATCTTGATATACACTGTCCTAAAACCAAAGACCCAAGTTAAAACATGCAAAATAAATTTAACCACTTAAAGATAATTCTGGGATTAAGATCCAGAGATTATTTGCTTAATAAATCCTAAGGAAAGGCAGCCTGTTTGCTCTTTATTGTAAACCATATTATTCTTTTTCACAGATTTTTAATGATTAAAATAACTTTTTCAAAAGTAAATCTGTATCATGACTTGCAGAACAGATAAAGGTCTCCAGGTGATTATGCTGTGCAGCTGGAGTTGAGGACCACTGCTAAGGAGGTGAAGAGTTAGGGCTTTGGCATTAGAGAGGCCTTACTAATCAACCCGATTTGGCTACTTACCTGCTGTGTGACACTGAAAAAGTTACCTCTTTAAACCTCGGTTTTTTCCTTTATAAAAATAATAGCACTTTATCACATAGAGATATTTTAAGAATTGAATGAGAAACCAGATATAAGCATTTAGCATAATGCCTGGTAAACACAAAGTGTTTAGTAAATGTTAGCTATTATCTTTACCCTTAAAACACAGCAAGATGAAAGATGGTTCTTTAATTATATAAATTTATACTAGCCACAATGTACTGACGCAATTCACATGTCCGCGAATATATGAAACTAACTGGACCATGGAAGTTTAGAACTACATTTTAATCAATTTGGGTAATTAAGTTTTGCTCTGTCCATCAAACATCTACCGTGTTTCTATTACATGCAAGGCCATGTGCTAGGTGATGCAGAGGAACAAAAAGATCAACTGAATAGTCTATGGAAGATTTCACATGTCCTTGTCTATCCATATGTTTCCTTTATAAGCCATGTTTGGTGGAAACAAAGTTTCATAGTGAAAGAACTACTTACACAGCTGACTTTCAACTCTAGAAGCAAATGCGGTAAGTCAATGATAGGAGAATTAGCAGCTAGAGAAGGTACCATTTTGCCAAAGAAGACCACACACACATTTCATTTAAAAATGTTAACTCATAAGATAAATATCCATTAGTATAAGTGAGCTCTTACCTGTTTCCGTGTCCCAGAGCTTAAGATACCTGTCGTAAGCTGCGCTGAGGAACTGCGTTCCTGCAGTATTAAAGCAGATGTCCCTGACAGCTTTACTGTGACCTAAAGGCAGAAACAACAGAAAGGCAGGTGAAGTATCTTCTTTTAAAACATGAACACCATAAAGAACAGTATTAAACAGTGTTGTCCAAGCCATGCTGAGAGTCAAAAATCACTGGAACCCCATTCCCTGATTTACAGACTCAACTGGTTTTATGTGGAATTGGGAATACACGTGGTACCCACTCCTCACCCTCTTCGAAAAGCCCCTGAGGTGATTCTGATGTATAACCTCTAGGTACGAAGCAAGAGAAAAGACCTAACATTTTTAAAAAGTCTGTCATGGCAATCTCTTAATATGAAATATATAGAACTGATGACTAAATAGCTAAGAATTTAAGGAAACATAATAGGCCAATTACTGCCAATGAAAGAGAAATGACTGGTGACATTTTGGAGGCTCACTCTCAGATTACTCACGAAGCTGGAAGTAAAAACAGAGTGACCTAAACCTCCTCAAGTTTGTAAAACAAATCATAGCCCTTATTCGAGAACTGCACATTTGTGTTACCAAATTTCACAGAAGTGGACTCAGAGTCTAAGACTAAGTCTTTTTGAAACCAAATATTAACTTCTATTTTGTTTCAGGATAACATTTTGACAATAAAGTCATTTTAAGATGCTCTGCTTGGAAATCAATCTTGCCAGACCAATCAACTCTTTTGACAGTTACGGGGACAAATAAAACATGGCTAAATGAAAGCAGAAACTTCGTATTTTTTACCACCCCCGCATGACCAAGACTGCTAAGTACAATTGTGCAAACTGTGCGTGGCACGAATTGTCAACCAGGCACAACAGCCCCAAACCACCGCCGCCAGTGGGCTCTGGGGAGGCATGATGTGTCATGGCAACTAGGCAATCAGGAGATCTTTTCTATGGTGGCAGTCCAGTGAGAGCTGCTACCGTCTTCCTGAGCAGGAGATTTTCCCTTTTCCACTGAACAACTGTCTGCCAGCACAGGGCAGACAAATGGGGGCCACATCCACTACATCTGCAGGAGGCATTCTGTTCCCTGTATGCTGCTGAGAGCCTTCCCATGAATCTTTCTTTAGGCTGCTATGGCATCTCGGGCAGTATTTATTTGTGCAGTGAGGCCCTAAAATTACACAGCACTGCAGAACACACTCCCACTTCAATCTAAAAACAGAGCCACTAAGATTCACACACATACTGCTTAAATGCAATACAGTTAAATCGGGAAACCTTCGCACAAAATTTGACAAAGGCTATAAACTATTCTCTACCAAAAAGGCTAGTTGGCCACAAAGCTGTCCTCTGCTTGGCCCTCTTCTTTGCTTCAAGTTCTCTCAATCTCATCTTTTTCTGTGTTAGATGCCAATTCCCAATCTCTCTTCAAACTTAACATCTGGCTAGCTACTTGCTTACTAGACATTTTCATCTCAAAACCCTAAGGGTAGCTCAAATTCAACGAGTCTGAAACCTCGGCATCCCCCTTGGTTCACTCGCTGGGTGAATGACACCAGCGTTCATCCTGGTGTCATCTGGGCGTCACCGTAGATTCCTGCCTTACTCTTATCACTCACACCCAGTAAGTCCCATTGATTTTAACTCTCAATTACTTCTTTCCTCTCTATCTCTGCTGCTTTACTTCAGACTCTCACCATCTCTAATCCAGGCTGATGAAATAACCTTATAATTCATTTCCCTGCCTCCAGGCCTGCTCCTTTAATGCACCCTCCATACTGCCACTGTGATCCTTGTAAACTCCAAACCTGATTGTGCTGCTTTCCCGTAAGAGCCGTTTAATGTCTGGCTTTCCAAAGCCCTCAGCATAGAGTCTGAACTCCTTACTAACGGGACACACAGTCCTCCATACTCTGCTCCCTCTTTTGCTCCTTTCCTCACCCTATCATCTCATGCCCTGGCAGTCTGACATAAAAGTGGTTCCCCCAAAGTGGCATGGTTTCTCATACCACTTTTGCTTCTGCTGCTTGCTCTTCCTAGTTCTCTTTCTTTATTTATGTGGGGAGACTTACACCCTCTTCAAGACTCAACTCAAGTCTATGAAGATTTTTGTTCATATTAGTGCAGAAAAATTATAGTTTATAATGATAAAAAGTCTTTCTAAACAGTTATAGTAAGGGAAAAAAGAAGCATTACCAATAAATGTTCGCAGACAACGCCTGTCTCCATAAACTTCCCACAGCTGGAAAAAAAACCCATAAATAAGTATTAAATTTAATACTAGACTTTGATGAAATGACAACTTTCAATCAGTTACAGCAGCCATATGCTGCCCATGTGTGTGCATATCTCTGTGTGTGTGCAGGGGATTTAACCAAAAGCAGTCAATATACATCATTGAATCGATTGCTTGGCATATCTAATCTGTGTTGCACTATTTTGACTCATGGACTCACACACACACACATTTTACACTAAACCTTGATGTCAGATTCTAAAAGATACATCAAAATATTACCAGAACTTGGAGCTAATATAAGTGATTTGTTTTCTTCTTGTTCTTTTCTGTATTTAATATGAGGAAAAAAAGTTTCTACTTATATAATACCATGAACTATACTTTTAAAGAGTTAAATAGTATTAAAACTGTCATGTTTATAACATTTTGGTATTAAAAGGTTTTGTTTTGAACTTTTCTAAAGTAGTAAGTACTATAGAAGCTTTATTATGAAAATGATGACCCAGACTAAAATGTAATAGGTTCATAATTCTCATCACATCTAAAGTGAATTAACACAAGAGCTTCAAAGTACCTCTATTCTTTCCTGCGTAAACCCAGTTCTCAACAGAACTGCTAGTCCTCAACAACAGAAAGCACATCTGGCCACCCAGTGCCAATGTACAGTCTGGGCCCCCGCAGCGGAGCAGGCAAGGACCTCCAACGGGGTCCTCTGCTCAGGACTACAGTAGTCATTCTGTGTCTCTCAGATTTTGGCCTCCAGCTACACACACTGTAGTTTTCAGCACACAGCATGCTGAATCATTCTATTCACTCTTCTCAGGCACAGTCTACGCCCCACCCCTCCTGCACTAGTTACCTTCCTACTGAGGTATGCTTCCTCTTTGAAACCAGAACACTTTGTTTCTGACTCTATAATGATCATTAAAATCACAATGAAATGTTCATCCTAAAGGGAGAGACAGTGCCTTAATAATTTTTGGCCCTTGCACATCACAGGTACCTAATTCATGTTTATGGAAGTGAAATAAATTGTATTTTATGCTTTTTTAATTGGTTAAAGAAAAAACCTTAATCTTAATTAACAGAGTTTGCATAAAGTGAAAGATAAAGGAAATAAGCGTTTTCTTACTCCAAACTATTGCCTGTTATTTTAAGCTAAGTACAGACAAATGCCTAAATGGTTGCTCTCATTCAAAAAAAAATTGAAACAAAACAAAACATAAAACATCTGCCTTTATAGATACTGTTAATATCCATAAGTTATTTACAAAGAATAAAATTTTAACAATTCAACTTTCCAAGCTCCAAGAGCAGTACACAGTTGATATTTATTGACCATCACAATGAACCAGACATACAAGACAAAAAAGAGGTAAGAACTATTCTTTCGGATTTAAGGTTTTTAAAAAGGCTTTCCCATATTCAGGTTGACATACTCTGGCAACTGAGTTCTTCCTACCATGTGTCCTACAGCTAAACATTGCCCTAAAAGTGAAGCAGCTTTCCAAGACTATAAAAAGTGGGAGAAGCGTCTGGGAGCATTCCTGTTACTTGGTGTCTACTAGCATTTATAAGAAAAAAGGATGAATTACATTATCCACTCTCTAGAAATGGGATTTCTGCCACATGCCCCCTCTCCCTAATAAGGTTCTGAGGAACAAATAAACTCAGTTACATATACAAAAACCTCTATAAAAATGCACTGTTAGTGATAAAACATTTATGTGTCTGAAGCCAAAGTGATTGGTTACGTTCTAATGAGTTATCTAAGCTTACAAAAGAGCCTCACCAGCTGAAATCATACACCATATTTGAATCAACATGTTTAGAAGCAGGACATAAATTGCTGCATTCGCAGGGCCTAGGAGAAAATTATTAGCCTCTGATTACTTAACAAACCCAAATTTATTTATAATTAACCAGCTTTAACCAAAAACAGTAGCTTTGCAACACTCCTACTCTGTTACCAAAAACTCACCTTAATTTTACAGTCCATGGAACAAGACAGCAGTAAATGGCCGGAGAGAGGGAACAGCCTGACGGCACTGACGCCCTGTGAAAGGGTATTTGATTAGTTACCGATCAGAAGCATGCTAAAATCAGCTAAAATCAAACCTAAGAAAAAGGCAGTGTATCTTTAAGCAATCTAATTTATTGTTTTCTTTATTCCAAAACTTACACCCCAGGATAATCTTCATTGTATTCTAACAGCAGCCCTTATTGACACTAAACTTCTCAAGATTTCTTTTTTAACCTTAACATTGACCTCCTCACCTAAGGGGATTCTGAGTCAATCAAGCTGCCGATGCCCCACTCCTCTTCTCTTTCGCTCAGCCCCCCTGCCCTTTGCTAGGAGCTTAAAACGCTACTTGGAGTAGTAGGGATGGCAAGGATTATTAACATCAAAAGTTTTCAAGTACAATATCTTGTCCCTTCATTTGTTTAAATATTATCATAGTTCAGGGAACATCTGATCTTCTTGGAAGGGTGATGGCCTCAAGAGCTAAAGCAAAAGTGCTGAGGCTGTGGTGCTAGCACGAGCATCTATTACTCACTGACTTGGCACCCAAGAAGCAAATTGTGGCAGGAATTTGGAAGGAAAGGCCAGGGCTACCACAAGGGCAGAGGGGACCAAATCACAAATTCTTAAGTCATGGCCAATCCAGATGACCTTGAAGATTGACTCATCGCTGGTGACTGATATGCATGGATAGCTCCAAAGCCCAACTTAGGTTTCTCTTCAATTTGACTTCTCCACATCTTTACCAGAAATAGAGAATGTTCCATATAGTTAGCTGAAACTTATGTTGGCTGCCCTATTTCACATTACAGCAAACAAAAAACAACCAATTTGCTTACCTTTGTGTGTCCAGACCACACGTGAATTTGTTTTTTAGGAAGATAACATTTCTCAGGTGGCACAGTTGACCGCAGATTAACACCAACATCCTGGGGTATGTGCAGGTAAGACCGGCCTTGGTAGTCATACATTTCTTTAACTGAAACAAGAAGGTGAAGGAGAGCCATGAACAAACATGAGCCGTAGCCATGCAATCTATAGCCTTAAAATGACAAACATTTATTCATCAGGATATTATTCTACAGTAAGGCTTAGGTAATAACACTCTGGTGTTAAGGCCAACAATAGCTGAAATTTAGCTGCCTGAAATCACTGATCTTATTTATAATTAGAGGTAGTGTTTTGGAGCTCCTAAAGACCCAGAAAATATTAGATCTCTAAATAAGATCTATACTTCTTTTATTCACTTACCGATTTTAGTGACATATATAAAAGTCTTCACTGCAGTATGATTACAGTGAGGTAAGAAAAAATAATACTTGGGCCTTGTGAGTCACTGGCAAAGAATCACAAGCAAAACAGGGTAAGAAGGAAATTAAAACAAAAAATATCAGCTATTCTTTTCCCCTGCTTTCCTCTCTTGTGTCTGTCTAGGTTCCTTTTCCATTCTTTTTTACTTTCAACACAGATTTTATAATAAAGTCACCTGTGGGAATTAAATGACAAAGTGTATGAGGGGGGACCCCTGCAAAAACCAGAATTATCTTCTGAAAGCAGGCCCCTAGTAGTACAGGCTTCCCTTGCCAGGTGAGTGTTCTAGGAACCCATCTGTATCAGTGCACCCGCTGTCACTGTGAGAGGCTGCATTTGGTTTCAGTGAATTTGTTTTGAAAACTCTTTCAATGTATTACTAGAGCACCTTCCCACACTGGGCTGAGTGTTCAGTTTTTGACCAAAAACGGACTAGTGGACCACCCTCCCTATTCACCCAATCTTGCCCCAGGTGACTTTATTTTGTTTCCCTGGATGACAAAAGTCCTCCAAGGGAAATGGTTTGCCTATGTGGAAGAAGTGAAACAAAAAATGGCAGAAGCATGGGATCAAAATCAACATGTTCCAAAACTGTTTTGAGCAGTGGAAAAAAGGTCTGGATAGTGTACTGCATCAAATGGACAGTACTTTGAAGGTGACTGAACATTAAACATGTAAGAATAAATACACAATTTTTATAAATCAATTCCATTTTTTGCCTGCCCCCCCCTCCCCTGCATAGATAAAGCATTTAGTAGCATGCCTGAGTAAGCGAGTAAGCACTACATAAACGCTGGCCATTATTGTTGGTATGGCTGCAGCACCACAGTACTAAATGGACTCCTTAGAGACAAAAACTGGAGCTCAAGAAACCAAATATGGCTCCATCAAACCTAAAATGTTGATATATGATCTAACATTAGAATAATCAATACTATCAGTGCTGAATTATTCTTTACAGTTTCAGATAATCTCTACATAATTTTCAAAATACAGCTAATTATTAATGAGCCAGGTACATTCTAGAATATTTACAATTTATTTTGGTGTATATACCTTTCCTCCCACAAATCAAAATGAGTATGAGAGTCTTTTTTTTTTAAAGATTTTATTTATTTATTTTTGGAGAGGGAAGGGAGAGAGAAAGAGAGAGAGAGAGAGAAACATCAATGTGCGGTTGCTGGGAGCCATGGCCTGCAACCTAGGCATGCGCCCTGACTGGAAATGGAACCTGCGATGCCTGGTTCGCAGCCCATGCTCAATCCACTGAGCTATGCCAGCCAGGGCATGAGTATGAGAGTTTTAATCTCCAATCTATTCACATCAAAACAAAGTTTATTCTTTTAAAGTATAATTCAGTAACTGTGAGTAGACCTGCAGAATATTTGATTTGGGTTAAAAACAAAAAGTTAAAATGACAAGGGCACCACTGACACACTAAACAAAGACTCAATTCAGACTTCTTTATCATTTTAAAAAATTCATTAGCACTAAAAAAATTATCTGCAGCTATCATTAACCATTCTATCAGAACATAAAAGAGTTTGTTGTAGTTTCTTTGGAATGCAAACTGTCCAGTATAATTCTTAATATAATGAATTGTAGCAGCTACTTAATAAAGGCAATGAATATTATACAAACAGAGAACAGAGTAAATATGTGAAAGTTTAACATACAAACTGAAGAAGCATAACAAATATATTACCATGTAAGATTGTCTTTTCCTCCCCAGGTTTTTCTTCTTCCAGTTTGCCTTTTTTCTGCCTCTTTGCTGTGATTTCATCCAATTCTTTTTGTTCTTCCTAAGGAAAATAAGGAGTCAACTTTAAAAATGGATGTTGTAGGACCCCATCATGGCCTAAGTTGGTTATAAATTCTTTATAATGAGGTCCACTTTTTGCTGAAGGAATAGCTTCAAGTATGTCTCCCAGGAGAACAAGCTCAATTTGTCAACCAGATTATAAAATGATATTAAACACATAATAGGTACTAGTTAATAATTTTAAACTCATTTTATAACAAACCCATTTTTCTGGAACACCTAGAAATAACTTTAACATATTATGCTAATTATGCAAGTGAAAGGACAAAGCAATTAGAAAATCTAGTACCAGACAGGAACCTGGATTTTAGTACACAATGTTGTTCTTCAGTAAACAGTTTTTACATAGTCATAAGAATATAAACAATGCCAATAGGTTCATGACATGACTTTTATGGAAGAAGCAGTGGAACAAAGGGGGGGAAGCAGGAAACTTTTATCTATAATAACAAAGACGTCAATAGATGATATCTACAATAAATAGCAGCATACACATATATTGAGACATAATATCTCAATATAATAAAATGCATGCTATTGAGTGCAAGATATACAGCTAGACTATAAACTTCATGAGGCTACAATTTTCTTGAGCTTGTCCATTGTTGTACCCTTCAGACCTAGAACAGCGACCGGCTCAGAGACTGAAATTAGGAGGTGGGGAGGAATAGGGTAGGGGTCTGTCTATAGCTTTAGCTCATAGTAGAATGAAAAAAAATATGGATATATTACTTGGTTAATATATTGATACATTTTATATTGAAACATTTTAAATAAATTAATAAATAAATAAAATTCACATCAATTCTAAAATCATAGAAAGGCTGGCAATCTGGTACCAGAAGAGCAGCTACCATGGCAGCTTAATAGCATTATCAAGGTGATATTTATTAAAATTGTTAAATAAATCAGAAAAATATATGTAAAAATATTCTAAAGAAAAACAAAAGAAAATCTTACAGTATTTCCTCAGTTTACCTAGATAGAGAAATTTTGATGACTCATTTATTTCTCTAAGGAAATCTCAAGTTTACTGATACAGGCACCCTTCATAGAGACACAGAGCAGGCACCTGAACTGACAATGAAAAACATCAAGGCTTACTTCGGAAGGTTTAGCTACATCTTTTTCATCCACATATTTTGCCCATGGTCCCAGGAAACCATCAATATTAGATGCATCATTTTCTTTGAACTTTTTCCTCTTTTCTGTTTTCTTCTGACCAGTCTCAAACACAGTTAAACCTACATTAAAAAAAAAGAGACCTCACAAATAATTTTCTCAAGAAATAGCAGCATATATATAATTTTTACTTTATACTGTTCTTGTGACCAAAGACTCTATTAAAAACACAAAATAAAATCTATATAAATATGCTAGATATACCAAGTCATGTTATATAAAAAGGATTCAGCGTTCTAGGCAAAGAAATTTTCTACCACTGCAGTATTTTGCAAATTCTAATATACATAAAGAGAAGACCAGCTATGTAATCCTGTAGTAGTACACAATCCTTTTAATGAATTGTAGACCTATATCAGTGAATTTTACCACTTTTTGAAAGAAACTCAGCAATTTAATATTGTTAAATAGTAATAAAGCTACTTTTGAAGGAATAAATTAAAATTTATCATTTAAAAACTTAATTGAATTAAATTACATTAAGTAATTAGTAACTTATTTTGTTTACTTGTAATACAACAGCATAAAGTTTCACAAGAATCTGGTATTTCTCTTAAGTGATCTCAATCCAAATTTGACATTTAACAACATAAACCTTAACAGTAAGAGGGAAAAGAGGATGTTTCTGGGCTGGGATTTGGTCAGGAGAAGGTGGCACACTGTGCGTAGTCATTCAGTTGGAAATAGAAAGGTTCACGGGAGTCATAACTACAATTTAACTGTTAACTGAGAATCTAGCTACATAAATATGTGGCTTGCGGAAGTCCAACTTAAAGAAAAAAGCTTATCTATATTAATTCAAATCAATAATCTTTAGGTTGTATGTTGTAAAAGAATCTTGTTAAAATTCTACTTTAACAATAATCTAGCTTATACACTGAGGACAGCTTGACCACATAGGTCTGTAGCTACTAAGTGTCTTTGTACAAATAGCACATTCTGTTTTTAATGAGCATTTTATAAAAAAAGATTCCAATGGGCTGATAAGCTTTATTCAAATTAGCATTCAGAATAACTTTGCCTTATAATAACGCAAAATGAATATGAGCACAAATATGTATTTTAAAACATTCAATAACTGAACAACTGAAGCAACCTTCCAAGACAATCTCCCCAATGAAACATGTTCTGCTCTGTTAAAATGTAGCTTGACACTTAGTGTTGATAAATAAACTGCTAAAGTCAGGTATACATTGATTGTAATTTACTGAATGACTTTAACGGGGTTAGTGATATGCCAAGTACTCATAACATTACTCCCCCAAATAGGTACCATTATCTTCCCTATAAGGTTGTACACCTAGCACATGGCAAAAGCAAGCTCTAAAAACTATTAATAGTTCTAAACTGCAACACGCTACAGTATCAAATTGAAAAAAAAATCAAGAGCTAAATAAAATACTAGTTTTATTCCCATTGTCTAAAGTCAATCTGCAAGACAGTAATTACAGGTATATATAACTTCAAATAAATACCTTGATTTTTCTCAGCTTCTTCTACAGAACCAATATACTTAGTAGTCACTTGATTATCTAATGAAGGGTCCAATGCATAACCTAAAAGGAACAAAGTACAAATTACTGACTCAATTTTTTGCCATTTACAATTTATTTTAATTCTATACAAATATCCTCACTTCACATTTTCTTCACCAGATGTCGAAAATACTCCTTAACTTAGGACCAATCTTTCCTTCATGAGCTGTGTTTCTATTCAGAACAATTAACCCAAGTCTAGAGCTGTACCATGAATGACTTCAGCAGAGTAAGAAGGATCTTATGGGCTAAAGCTGGCATACTGGTGTTATATTAATTATTAAGATCCCTTCCAGCCAAAATATCCAACTGTAGTCTTAAATTTTGGAAGAGCTTAAAAAATACACATATATCATATATTTGGAAGTTTAGAAACTCTTTTTCTTCCTTTTAAATTTTTATTTATCTTTTAAAAATGTATTTTTTTGATTATGGTATTACAGTTGTCCCAACTTTCTCACCTTAACCCCATTCCCTCCAGCAATTCCTCCCCCCTTAGTTCATGTCCATGGGTCATGCATATAAGTTCTCTGGCTTCTCCATTACCTGTACTGTTCTTAACACCCCCCCATCTATTTTGTACCTACCAATTTGTGCTTCTTAATCCCTCCACCTTCCCCCTCTCAACTGATAACCCTCCAAATGATCTCCATATCTATGATTCTGTCCCTGTTGTGCTTGTTTGCTTAGTCTGTTATTTGGATTCAATTGTTAATAGTTGTGCATTTGTTGCCATTTTAATTGTTCATAATTTGGATCTTATTTTTCTTATATAATTCCCTTTGGCATTTCAAATAATAATGACTTGGTAAAGATGAACTCCTTTAGTTTTACCTTGTCTGGGAAACACTTTATCTGCCCTTCAATTCTATGTGATAGTGTTGTTGCATAGAGTAATCTTGGAGGCAGGTCCTCCAAGGACTTTCATGACTTCAAATACTTCTTCCCAGTCCCTTCTTGACAATAAGGTTTCTTTTGAGAAATCAGCTGACAGTCTTATGGGAACTCCTTTGTACATAACTCTGTTTTTCTCTTGTGGCTTTTAAGATTCTCTCTTTATCCTTAACCTTTGGCCTTTTAATTATTATGTGTCTTCCTAGGAGTGGGCCTTTACATCCATCTTGTTTGGGAATCTCTGAGCTTCCTGCACTTATATGTCTATTTCCTTCACCAAATTAGGGAAGTTTTCTTTCATTACTTTTTCAAATAAGTTTTCAATTTCTTGCTCTTCCTCTTCTCCTTCTGGCACCCCTATGATTCAGATGTTGGTATGTTTAAAGATGTCCCAGAAGTTCCTAAGCCTATCCTCATTTTTAAAAAATTATTATTATTTCCTTCTGTTCTGACTGAATGCTTTTTCCTTCCCTGTGTTCCAAATCATTGATTTGATCCATGGCTTTATCCACTCCACTGCTGGTTCCCTATAGATTTTATTTCATGTAATGCAATCTTCATTTCTGCCTGAGTCTTTTTTATGGTGTTGTAGTACCCAATGAGTTCCTGGAGCATCCTGATGACCAGTGTTTTAACTCTGCATCTGATAGGTTGCTTGTCTCCATTTCATCTAATTTGTTTTGTTCTTTCATTTGAGCTGTATTTATCTCCTCATATTGGCAACCTCCCTGTGTTTCTTTCTGTGTATTAAGTAGAGCTGCTCTGACCCCCTGTCTTAGAGCACCTGTTAAGTTGTATGGTGCAGAGCCTTAGGTAATCTCGCCAGGGCAGGGTAACCCATGTCACCACTCTGTTGCTGTGTGGAGGAGGGCTCTGAAGGGGCCCAGTGCCGCTGCCTGGCCTCTGGAGTTTAGCCTTGGAAGAAACTGTCTCCCCATTCCCACTTCACTTTCTCCCATATGCCACTGGTACCCTTCCTGCTGTTGTCCTGGCACTGAATGCCAGAAGGGATGGGTCTGTGTGAATCCTAAGTTTCTTGTCGGCCCTTTAAGAGGATTTATTTTTTTCTGCCACCCTAACCATCCTGGTTTTTACAGCCAGAAGTTATGGAGACTTATTTTCCTGGCACTGGGACCCCAGGCTAGGTGGTCTGGACTGAGGCTGGGATCACCACTCTCCATGGCATCCCTCCTGTTTTTTACCCACCACATGTGGATGTGTAACCACCCATTCTTGTCTCTGTGTCTCCACGCTTCTCCACATCTCTGCCTCTCCTACCTATCTGGATGACTGTGGCTTCTTTAAATTCTTGGCTGTCAGACTTCCACACAGCTCAATTTTCTGACAATTCTGGGTGATAATGTTCTGTACTATAGCTTTGTTTTTTGCTATTGTGCATAGAGGCGAGGTATGTTTACTTATGTCTCCATCTTGATCGGAAGTGCAGAAACTTTTTTTAATAGATAATACATGGTTATCAAATTATATCAACTATTAATATTTTTTAAAAAGAATCATATGTAATCTAGCTATTATTTTGAAAATCCTATTCTGAGTAAAGACAGTGTGTCCTACCAGTTTTAAGACAATACATTTCTACTTCATAAATCATTACTTATATTTCCTTGGTAAGAGAAGCAAGGGTATTAATTAGCATATGAATACACTCCTTCAGCTAGAGGTAAGAGTGTGGCTACATATAAATGTGGTCTTCAATGGCTTATGGGAACTTAAGCGAAAAAAGTATATATTAACTCAAATCAGTTTTTTCTTAAGTGGGGGTTGCTAGTATAATCAATGTTTGGTCAAGATCGATTTTAAAAATCTAGCATATTCACAAAAAGAACTAGATGATTAATCAATTGAGGGTTTAAAACCCATGCAAATAATCATGGAATACATAATAGTATCAGCTTATTTTTTTAAGGGTACATCTTAGTAGGTATACTTAACATTTTAATTTTTCAGCTAAAAATGAAAAGGATTGTCTTTAGAAAAGCATTTGTCATCAAACATACTTTTCAAACTAGCTAAGGATACAAGTGCCCAATTCACCCTAGTGATATGCTTAATATAGAACCAACCACCTGGCTATTAGCTCATTTGCATATAGTTTTTTTTTTCAGTATTTAAAATATGCTCTTAGCCAGAGGAGAGAGCTTGATGGCAGAAAAGCAGCTTTGGAATAGAATTTGTGAAATCACAGGTTCAAATATCATGAGTTCTTTTATCTTTCATCTCTGTGATGTACAAGTGTTCTGTAAATAACGTATTTTTTTAACCTCATCTAAGGACATTTTTTTTTCATTGCATTTACAGAGAGAGAGAGAGAGAGAGAGAGAGAGAGAGAGAAACAACGAAGTGCAAGAGCAACATCATCGGTTGCCTCCCATATGCTCCATGACTGCGGACCGAACCTGCAACCTTGGCATGTGCCCTGACCAGGGACTGAATCTGCAGACTTTCAGTTTATGGGACAATGTTCCAACCAACTGAGCCACACTGGCCAGGGCTAAATGCTGTGTTTTCAAAAATGAGACTAGATAAGGCTTACATAAAAATTTAAACACAATACCCCAAGTTAAAAAAATCCTCATCTCAATCATAAAAATGTATCTAGAATGTAATTGTCTTGAAGGAAACTTATGTCTACATAAAGTGTTGCACTGTGTGTTTGGAGGGATGAAGTAGGAGGCAGAGAGGGAAGGGTGACCCCTGGTCCTTCCTATATGAACTGTGTAAGCACCAATCCCCAGCTCATCTGGTCAGAGTCTTATTTCTGAGAAAAGGAACTTGTGCTCTCCTTTTCCAACCTCTGTGGTAAAATCTTTACTGCTACCACCACCATTACGCCTAGTGCCCCCCAACCCAGGTAATTAGGGGTTAAGAGTATGTTTCCTTTACAGGTAAGAGAAGTTAAATATTTAGCTGTCTGTCCTACTACAAGTCAGTTAGTAAAAGAATAAGATGTAACTCTAATACTACAGAATTTCAGTCCAATTGATTTTCTACTATTCTACGTCTCAAATAAATGAATATATTTGCATTTTAGTTCTGAAATATTCTCATTTGTCTTTCTGAAGCTTATTCTCCATTGTATCTTTTTAATGAAGCTAATGTCTACATTTTTCATTTGTAGTCCTATTTGAAATGGCTGTCAATTTATTACTTATCCTTAAAATTATAAACACTAACATCCTAAAAGGTAAATGAGAAGTGACTTTAAACAATTTGCAAAAGAATGGTGGTTACAAATACACGCACACCTCTAAGATATTGCGGGTTTGGTTTCAGATACAGCAATGAAGGACTATTGCAATAAATCAAGTCATAATCTTTTTGCTTGTGGAGGGAGGGTCTTTAATTGGTAAAAAATGCAAAATCTGTGAAGTGCAATAAAGCAAAGCACAATAAAATGAGGTAAGCCTATATAAGAAAAAACCTTCAATCTTACTAGTAGCTCAAAAGAATAAAATTTTAACAGAGATATATTTTTGTTTATCAAAAAAACAAACAAAGGAAAAATGATTATAAGGATCTTGGGTAAGGAGAAATAGGACTTTCGTACATGGCAGTATTAAGATGGGAGAATTCTTTTGGGGAGCAATTTGACAATCTATAACAAATGCTTTAAAAACATTTATATTCTTAGTCCTATTCTGAGAATTCTCTTTAGAAAATAATGAGAAAAACTCAACGTTTTATGCACAAAGATATTCACCATCACATTTTTAAAAAGTATTTTACTGTAATTTAATATATATATCACCACATTTTTAACAGCAAAAACTGGAACCAATTTGAACTTTAAATGATTCAAGAAATTTTAATATAAATATCTTCATTCAGTAGAATATTTAAAAATCATTTAAGAAGGTTAATAAAGAGTTTCTAGTATTGATGTTAAAACTAAGTTACTGATAACGTTGGTGAAACTAAAGGTATTTAAATTCTATTCTCCACTTCTATATACTGGTGTAGAGAAAATTCTGGGTGAACATAGAACAAAGGGAAGAAACCTCACTGAGAAGCCCCCAGGAAGACTAGTAAAGGAACAAGCGGGAACCCAAGAAGAAAAGGGAGGAAAACAGGACAAAAGAATCACACAAACCATTGAGAGGCTGAGAAGTCAGGAATAAATACCATAAATAGGAGCCAAGAGCAAAACTGTAGAACGAGTAAATGGAATGATACAGCAAACAAGATTATCTTTACTGATAAGGACCCCACCGGCAGGTTTTGTGATAAACTAAATGTACAATGTGAATCTTCCAGAAATAATAAACTTAGATTATACACTGCTACCACTAACCATGGCAGTAAAGTATACCCCAGCAGAATTACAGAGTGATAAATATAAAATTTAGGTATTCACGTGCCATCTCCTTCTATGTCTTGTAGACAACACCAGTACAAGGTCTGCTCCCTGGTACTCTGCAAATGAGGGAAGGTAACAGGAAGTTCTCACAGTCTTACATTCTAAAGAGCGAAAGAAAACTCTTTGTCTCACTCTCTGAAAGAAATCACTATCTGAGGTTAGACGAAAAATTTCTATGAGAAAACTACATGACTTTTAAATCAATAGAAGCTATACTTGCTTAATACTTGGGGGATAAAAAAAAAGACTGCTAAACCTAAGACTGATTAACTACTTTATTAATTAAATTTCAAAAAAAATTGCTCTCTGTTCTAAGATTATAATAAGGGAGACAAACAATAATTTTCTTTGTTTTGCAACTTTATTCTAAGCTGCCTTCTATAGAATAGCCACATTCATTTTTTGTCTTAAATTTCACTGAATAGTTCAACCTGGGCGCCCTAGCCCCACTCTTTCCCAATGGGAAAGGCAAAAATCACCAGCTATTAAAAAAAAAGTTAAGGTTATTTCTGAATGTAGGTCTAAAGACAACTAAATAATTTTAAATGGTTACTCTTTTCTATAGGATAATTTAAGAAAGAAAGTAGGTATCAAAATAAGCTTATTTGGACATTTTTTCCTGCCTTGTTTTAAGGTAGACTTAAGCTATATAAATTATTGCTTAAGGCCCTTGTAAGGTCTAAGAAAATAAGCAAAGTCTTTAAATCTGTTTTATTATAGGCTAAGATATAATAAATTCATGATGCAATAGAGTTAATTTTTATGCATTGCTTATATGCTTACATGGATCCCTTATACAAGCAATGGGCGCAACGCATTTATAACATTTTGTTGAACTGGAAGTGTCACTGAAGTCTTCTGGGAGATTGCAGAGGGTCACAGTCATGGCTGTGACATTGGGTTCACAGTTAAGTCAATTATAACACCTCACCATGCTGAAATACGATCTAACAAATAACAATCTTTTCACAAGTGGTTTTTAAGAATATATTGTGATGAATAATTAAGACTACTAAACTTCTAAACTAATTTAGAAATGAATCTGTTTGCATCACTAAGTATTAGAAAAAAGTAACTTTCTAACATTAGAATATAATGTAAATTATAACACAATCAATGGATTATTACATAGCTCTTAACACTAATAAGCTTTGAGACTGTAACACTGAAAATGTTGGTGATAAAATAGTGAACAAAAAAGTGAAATGCAGAATATTCAGTTTAGAAATGTTACCGCTCTGTAATACAAATATGAACATGAGAAAAGACCTGGAGGGACAAAGACCCAATGCCGAGAGTAGATCCTTTGGTACAGGGGGATTATGAGTACATTTTTCTTCTCTTTTCCCTAAATGTCTAAAATGTGTTTATATTACCTGTTAATGAAAGTAACTGTTACCAAAAACCATCACTGAAAACATAATGTTGTTCAAACTTTTTTGGTCCTATCTTATGACAATGGAAGTTAATGGAAGATAGGAGAGAAAAATTTGTTCAGAACTTTAAAAAAATCCAACAGTAAGAAATAAAAGAGTTACTAGAATTCTAACTGCAAAGAAAACTTTTTAAAAAAGACAATATTGCTGGTATCTAAAATGTGACTATTAAACCTATTCTAAAAGAAATTCAGAATTTTCTTTTTCAATTACTCTTTTGAGAAAAATATCAGCACAAGTACTTAATTCATAAAGAGGATAACAACTACAACAGCCGTAAGTCATTTACTCTGTGAGCCCACCCCTATTAAAAAGGTCTTTAAAGCAGAAGGTGATCAGCATGTCCGTCAAACTGCAGGTGTGGATTACAGGAAGAGAAAGCAAAGGCAGCACCAAATATGGACAAACCTGATATCTGTGACCAGAACCCTGATTTGCCAAACTCTCAACGAGGACATCATAAAGACCATCTTCTCTTAGAGAGGACAGCCAGCGTTGTATATGCACATGAACCTTTTATATCTTGCCATTGATAGCATGTGATTATTCTACCTAGTATATTTGTAGCCATTCTATTTCCTGACGTCCTTCAGTGATCAACAGAAAATTTTTCAGTGATAAGATCTGAGAAACAGAGTAAAGTCAACTAGTCTATACAACAAAAAGTGTAACCTCTTAATCTATCCTGTCATTTACTAACTTCGACAGCAATCTGCCCCTAATGGACATTCAATATCAAGTACAATGACAGAGAATACCCTGTTTTTAAGACCACAGAATGTTTCTAGTACTCAGAAATCATGATAGAATTAGAATGATAGCTAAAAACATTACTTTCCCATTTGTATAATTATTTATAGATGTGTATTAGAAAAACACAATACCCTTTTTGAAGGGTATTGAGTTTTCTTACACACACCCCCCACTTCTAATAAAGTCAAACTTGAAACTGTAAGTCTAATTACCTTACCATATGTGGCAAAAGTTCTTCTTTGCTGTTCAAACATAAAATCATTGATATGAGCTGGTTCAGCATATCCAGAAAGCATATTTCTAGGGGCAGCCATTTGCTGTGTCCTAAAGGGATTTTCTGGTCCAAACTGTAACATTATTTAAAAAAGAAGAAGAAAGAAAAAAACTTAAACTCTGAGTACATAAAGATAAAATTACTAGGATAATATACAATGTATAATGTATTTTCAACTTGAAATCATCCGAAGCTGAATAACCTAACTGGGAACATGCTCACCCCACTTAGTTCAGTGCCACTGGGAGATGGCTGCTCAGGACAGTTTGCCAACCTGAGGGCAGAAGGAAAGGAATCCAGCTCATCCAAGTCTACACGTGGCTCTTTCAAGTTAAACTAATTAAAACATTCAGTTCCTCACTCACACTAGGCACATTTCAAGAGCTCAAAGGCCATGCATGGTTATTGGCTACTATATTTCCATTACAACAGGGAGTTCTATTTGACAGTGTTTTTCTAGATAACTGACACTATAGTTTTGTTTAAACTATGATGTGGCCAGGTTGGGGTAACCTTTATATGAATAATGGCACCATGATGTAATTAAAAAAACACGTTTCTTCTCAACTAGATTATGAGTTCCTCAAAGGTAGAGACTTAGAATCCTCAAAACTCACCACAGGGCCCGGAAAATAGAAAGCACTAATAAAAGAAAGATTAATCCGAATACCATTGAGGGCAGAAGACGGTAAAATAGACAATAAAAGTAAAGTGCTTGAAAAAGTCTCCAGGAAGCCCTGGTTGGTATGGCTCAGTGGATGGAGTGCCAGCTTGCAAACCAAAAGGTTGCTGGTTCGATTTCTAGTCAGGGCACATGCCTGGGTTGTGGGCCAGGTCCCCAGTTGGGGGCATGCGAAAGGCAGCCAATTCATGTATCTCTTATACATCCACGTTTCTCTCCCTCTCTTTCTTCCTTCCTTCCCCTTACTCTAAAAATAAATAAATAAAATCTCTAAAAACAAAAGAAAAAGTCTTGAGGAAGAGACATTACGACTGTAAATAAAATTTCTCCACTCTGAAAAGTCAAACTATGAAAGCCTACACAAAATAGCACCATTATTACCTATTTGTTTCTAATGCTTTGAGTTTCCAGAATGGCTTTCCAAATGTTATTTAATCTGTACAAAAATCCTGTACAGTTAGAGAAGTATTTGCATTCTCATGTTAGAAATGAAGATGAAGGTAAAATATGATGTATTTCACCTGCCTTAGAGTCAACTGTTTTATTCATTAGAAGAGCCAAGGCTAGAAGAAATCCTAATCTAGCATTCTATTACATAATAATATTCCTTAAACATACAACCATAGCCTCTGACTTAAAAAGAAGTTATTGGGAAAATTCCACTCTTTTCCTTTTTTGTTTTTAAATAAAAAATAAAATGAACCTCCCTCTTCAGAAATAATGGAATCAGATATGATATTTTTATCTGAACTCTGGAAGGTGTACTGTCATGATGAAACATACTGACATTAGAGCATCTTAGGTCACTGGCCTTAGAGACCACATTTTCTATGATATACATCCAGAGCCATAAATGTAAAGTTATTCATCTTTTAACCAGAAGGTTGCTTCCTCTAAATATTAATATTATATTATACACCAAAATCTACATTTAAAGAATGTCAGATTTGTCTTACCATGTTTCTGCTTAAGAAAATAAATTACAATATTTTTTTTATTGATAGCTTCCATTTTAAAACGATTCAATCTTAAAATATCTCATTCATATATAAAGCTTTTACTACTATTTATCTAAATTAAAATAAAGGAGAATACAACACATTGTAGTCCATGTTAGCTTTTCCTGTGCTGCTAGGTGAAACAAAGAGGAAAAAAAATAGAAATCTAAATTGCTGAATGCTGGAATTTTCAGTTAACTTCATTCAGTCATGAAATTTATTACAAAACAAGAAACATCCATAAAATTAAAGATAATAAAATGATCTGAAAGTTTCCTAGATGCTCTACCTGCTATAGTTAGCTACCATCTGCATAGCTACACGTGATTATTTCTAAAACAATAAAATCCCCACTGCTCTTATTGTTACTTCTATCATATATAACAAACTACCAATCATAACTATAATTTCCATTTGAAAGTGGAAAATACAATTTCCACAGTCTTCTTTTATTAAGATTTTACAAAAGGAGAACAATTATTCTATAGGCCATACATATCAAACTGGCTCTAATTTTTAAAGAAAAATTCTCAGTGTTAAAGAACTTTGATTTCTATACAAATACAGATCCATATATTACAGTTAAGTATATCTTAATGTGGTATTATTCCTAACTCAGTCTAAAAATTTAAACATCCTTATGTTTTACTTTTTAAATTATATTTTATTGATCATGCTATTACAGTTTTGTCCTGATTTTTTTCCTTTGCCTCCTTCCACCTAACAATCCCCACACCTTTGTTCACGTCCATGAATCATGTGTGTAGGTTCTTGGGCTACTGCATTTGCTACACTGTACTTTCCATCCCCACAGCTATTCTGTACCTACCTATTTGTACATCTTAATCCCCTCACCTCTTCACCCATTCTCCCCTACTTCCCTCTCATCTGGCATCTTCCAAAACCTTCTCTTTATCCATGATTCTATAGCTGTTCTTATTTGTTCAGTTTGTTTTTCAGATTCAATTTTTTTTTAAATTTATTGTTGTTCAGTTACAGTTGTCCTGTCTTTTTCCCCTTTGTTCCCCCCAATACCATTACCCCCACTCCCTGTCAATCGCCCCCAATTGTCTGTGCCTATGAGTCCTCTATTTGTGATCTTTTGCTTGCCCCTTCCCCGGCTACCCCCCTCCTACACACCTTCTGGTCACTGTTAGTTTGTTCTTTATTCAATTGTTGATAGATTGTAATTTTTGCCATTTTATTGTTCATATTTTCATCTTCTTTTTATTAAATAAGTCCCTTTAACATTTCATATAATAATGGTTTGGTGATGGTGAACTCCTTCAGTTTTTTCTTGTCTGGGAAACTCTATCTCCCCTTAGATTCTAAATTGACAGCTTTGCTAGGTAGAGGAATCTTGGTTATAGGTCCCTTCTTTTCATTACTCTGAATATTTCTTGCCAAACTCCTCTAGCCTGCAAAATTTTTTTTTGAGAAATCAAATAAGTCTTATGGAAACTCCAATGTAAGTACCTAACTTCTTTTCTTTTGCTGCTTTTAAGATTCTCTCTTTATCTTTAACCTTTGGTATTTCAATTATCATGCATCTTGGAGTGGGCCTCTTTGCATCCACCTTGTTTGAGACCCTGTGCTTCCTACACTTGTGTGTCTATTTCTTTCACCAATTTAGGGACATTTTCTTTCATTATTTTTTCAAATAGGTTTCCAATTTCTTGCTCTTTCTCCTCTTCCTCTGGCAACCCTATAATGTGAATGTTGGACTTCTTTAAGTTGTCCCAGAGGCTGCTTGTACTATCCTCATGTTTTCAGGTTCTTTTTTCTACTTCTTGTTCAGATTGGGTGTTTTTTGCTTCCTTATATTCCACATCTTTGATTTGATTCTTGGTTTTATCCATTCTACTGTTGTTCCCTGTAAATTGTTCTTTGTTTCAAGTATCCTTTGTTTCTGACTGGATCTTTTTATGCTGCTGAAGTCCTCACTAATTTCCTTGAGCATCTTTATAACCAGTGTTTTGAACTCTGCATCTAATAGACTGCTTATCTCCATTTTGTTTAGTTCTTTTTCTGGAGTTTTGATCTGTTCTTTCATTTGGTTCATGTTTGTCTCCTCGTTCTGGCAGCCTCCCTGTGTTTCTTTCTATGTATTAGGTAGAGCTGCTTTGACTCAGTGTCTTAATAATGTGGCCTAATACACTAGGTGTCCTGTAGGGTCCAGTGGCACAGCCTCCCCTATCACCCAAGCTGGGTACTTGAGGTGTGCCCTTCATGTAGGCTACGTACACCCTCCTGTTGTAGTCAAGCCACGGTTGCTGCTGGCAGATAAACGGGGGATTCACCTAGGCCAGTCAGCTACAGGAACTGGCTGTGACTACTGAAGGCCAACCTCTGCCCTCTGTGCAGGGGCAGGGTACTGGTGCTCCAAAATGGTCTGTAGCTGTGTACTGGGTGCATTAGTCCTGGGGTTTCCCAGGAAGTACAAGCCAAGGTCAGCCCCCACCTGTGTTTTGCTCTGGGCCACGCTGCCTAAGCTATAAGGCAATCTGAGAGGGCTGCTACTTGTCCTGGGCTTAGAGATTCCCAGGGGAAGCCAAGCTGTGAATCTAGGCTGGCTGCTGCTAGTGCTGGGTCTGGGGCTCACTGAGGCCAGCTGTTGCTTGTTTGAGAGGATTTAGAAAGTTGTGAAACAAGAACCAAGATCAGCCATTCATATGGAAAAGCATGGTGGGTGGGCCCATAAGCTGGGTGGGGTGGAGTCTCTATAGATCTCCAGTACAGGTCAAACAGTGTTGTCCAGGTTGATGGAGTTTCAGATATGGCACCAGTTTACTGGCTCTGTGACCCAGTAAACCCCCTGGGAGGGTTTAGAGAAAGGACAATGGCCTCTGCTAACCTTGATGCCAGACACTCCAGTTTCTCCCTATATATCACTGGTGCCTTTCAAGCTGCTTCCCCAGGGGGCTGGAGCTCAGAGGAAGTGAGTCTGAGTAGATGAGTCTGTGTGTGGGTTTTTAAAGAGGAACTGCTTCGGGGGGTCCAGAAGTTTCTTCCACGGACTCAATTCCTCCTGGATTTTGCAGCCAGAAGTTGTGGGGACTTTTCTTCCTGGCACTGGAACCCTGGGCTTGAGCCTGGTATAGGGCTGGAATTCCTTGCTCTTGAGATATCCTTCCTGAGTTTCTATCCTTCCTGAGTTTCTATCCTTCACATGTGGGTGTGGGACCACTCCGTTCTGCATCTGCATCCTTCCTACCAGTGTGGATGGAGGTGTTTCCTGAATTCTGTAGTTGTCGGACTTCCATTCAACTTGATTTCCGACAATTCTGAGTGACAGCTGTTCTATATTTTAGTTGTAATTTTGATGTGATTTTGTGAAGTGGTCAGCCGTATCTGCCTACGTTGCCATCTTGACTGGAAGTCATCTAACATCCTTAAGTTTTAGGTATATTTATGCTGAGACATCAAAAAATATTCTAATGATATAGGAAGCTGTCTGGGGGATGTTCCAACTACTTCTGGCTCACCTTAACTGCCTGGTTACTGGCAGCTATTGAGTCTGACCTCACAGACATTAAATGTCAACAGACAAAGGCAGAGAATGTTACTTAGTAAGACTCTGCTCTTCTCAATTACTCAACAAACAAACAAACAAACAAACAAACAAAAAAACGCTTCCAGATGTTGCTGGTCTCTGTGAATGTGCAACTCTTTTAATTCTGGGTTAATCATTAAACAACAAAAACAATAAAAAAGCATATAAAAAACACATAACTGATTTCCAAATACTTTTTTTCAACCTTTAATAGTTAAGTGCAAGTTTGTAATTCATCAAGTGATTTTTAAAAATACATACTCAAGTTAATTAGGTATGAGTATTTAATAGTTCTTAGCTAAAACAATATTGAAATATGTAGTAGTCAATTATAATTGTAATCTCCTATATAAAAATATACACATTTAAGTATCAATTCAAATGACTACACACCCCAAAATGTGTGGTGTTCCTGGGAGAAGTAATTTTCTTTGCATTTTTCACCTTAGTGATGTACTTATAGAGTTGGGAGAAAAGCATTTTTAATTTGTTAAGGCAATGGTTGATAAGCCTACAGATCCGTACAGTATAAGGCAGTGATTCTTAAGTCTTCAGTGGGTAGAGAATTTGAGGGTCAATATCTTAGCAGTATATAATAACATCACAGGATTAAGGGAATTTATACTAGTAAAATGACATAAGCATGTACCCTGCACACCCCACCGTAGCCTACAAACTGGTCTTCTAGTTACAGAACGACTGCTAACAGTGATCTAGACTCAAATGTGCAAATCTGTCACTTGCTGGCAGTATAATATGAGACTTGGTTTCCCTGCTATAAAATAGGGATAAGAGTATTTACTTCATAGGGTTGTAATGAAGTCTAAAGGAGATGGGAATATAAATTTACAAGCCTCTCAGTACGGTACTTGGCATACGGTAATAAAAGGTAGTTTTATTTCATTAGTTTCTATCCTTGTTCTTTTCCATCATGCAAACCCTTACCAAATTCACCTTCCTATATTCAGCTTTATTTATGCCACTCTTCCCTTAACGAACCTTAGAAATCAAGACCAAATTTATTAAATCAAGACCAACTCTTCACCTTGGTCCCCAGAGCCCTGTGCAATGTTATACAAACTACCATTCTAATCTTACCTCCCATTCTCCCCTACTGAGAATGATTTAAGCATTCTTGTTCTTTAGAGCTTCTATGATTTAGCTCATGCTGTTCTCTTCTGCTTGGACTCTTTTCTCATAAAAGCCTTCCTAAGTATCAGTACCAGTAACGGTAATATAAATAACAGTAAGTGCTACCATTTATTAATGCTTACTGTGTCAGAGAGTTTCCTAAGCATATCATATATTATCTCATTTATCCTTATTAACTCAGTAAAGTAGAAATTATCTTCATTTTTATCTAACAAGAAAACAAAGATAATCCAAAGTCACATCAGACCAAAACAGCAGCCTGTTTAACTCCAAATCTTATGTTCTTAACCTGGGTTGTATTGCTTACTATACTATAAATACTATTTCTTTCATGGAACATTTTCTAATCTTTATAACAAGATGCAACCTCTCTTTAAACATGAATAGTACTTTAGAGACACTATAAGAAATAGTCTGGTCTCTATCTTTTAAAAAATATACTTAGCTTACCCTCTCTGGTAAACACTAGAGTTATACTTTGTTTCTAACAATGGATTCTCAAATATGGGAACTTGAATTTCATCTAGCAAATCTCCTGGTAATACCTTTCCAGACTTGGTCAAGTTACATACATCCTAGTCATAAAATCCAAAGTTAATAATATGTTATGTCTCAGACAATTCATTTGGTAACCAGGAAAACCTAGTTTTTTTTCACTTTTCAGTCTCATCATTCTTTTCTTAAATTGTGGACAAGCAGTGAAGTGTTTCTAATGTAAACTAATTTATATATATTAGGTTGGCCAAAAAGTTTGTGTGGTTTTCTCCATAAAATAAAAGACACACTTTTTCATTTTCACCAATAACTTGTTGGATTTGGATATTTTCAGTATGTCAGCTATCTCCCATGTGGTATAACATTGATTGTTCTCCCTTAATGTCTCGATTTGATTGCTATCAACTTCAACTGGTCTACCCAACTGTGGGAAATCTTGATTTCTCTGATACCCAACCATCAGCCAGTAAGAAATCTCCAACATTAAACTTTGCAAACCACTTTTGACACTTTTGATCAGTCACAGCACTCTCCATACACAGCACAAATCTTTTTTTGTTTCTGTTGTTTTTACCTTTCTTGAAATAATAAAGCATTATATGCCGAAAATGTGTATTTTCTTTCATCTTCAATATTAAAATGGCTACACAAAAATTCACCAATTTTGATAAGTTGTTTTTAAATGCATGCTCGTAATGACAGCTGTCACAATGAAATCTAACAAAATTGTTTCAAATGAAGTTAAAGACCACTAAGTGCTACTAGAGCCATCTTACAGAAAAAAACAAAAACTTTTTGGCCAACCCAATATTTAGTGGGAGGCTGCCTATCATGAGAATACAAAAGGACTGACAATCCCACAATGCCTACTGCCTTGTCAATATCACCACCAAAAATCTTGATCTTTTAAATTTTCTTGAAATTTTTGAAAACTGTAATCAAATAGCCATTTATTAGTTATATACAGGATCTAAAAATTTAAGAAAAATAGATTTCATAGAAAATACATATACTGACATAGGAATGTCATATCCCACATTACTTAGAATTTTCTCATTTTCTAAATTCAGCAATCCTATTTTATTGAAGTCCTTTTCATTAAAAAAAATCATGAGGCATATAAGTAATATACAACCTCTCTTCAATGTGATGGCTAAAATGGTGCTAAGGAATATGGGACAGCCTGTAGTTCAACAGGGTGAAGGATTTAAGAAATAATGGAATGAAATTTAAAATGTGCTATAGCCTCAGAGCATGAGAATGAGATTTTTGCTTGCTATATACCCAGAGAATAGCTAGAGTACTCTCTAAATACTACCACTGACATCACTGGCTGTGCTGCATATTTCAATTGCTATATTTTAAGCGACTAAGCAGGTAAATTTGACTCTGCTTTATCAAAAAACACAAAAACCAAAAAACCAATGACTATACACTAAAAAAGGAAAAATATTCAAAAGTACCTCTTTTTCTATCAAGATGCAATAAGATTTGGCTCTTTAAAGCGCTCCTTAACAGCCCTGCCACTAAAGACTCTTTGTTTTATGACCATTTCATGGCATTTCTATTTTGTCAATCAGGCATTCTTTTTCTTTTAAAGGCAAAATAGCTAGAAATCTTGTCTTTTCTACAATTCTTCCTAAATGCACAATTGTCACTGTTTCCCTTCCTCACCTTCTTTAATGTATCATCACACGGAACAAAGACTCTGTACGATGCCTTACGCAGAGCAGGCGATAAACCCTGAGACTGCTTTTGAGCAGTGACCACATCAGTACGGCACCTCTTTTTAGTGTTTAGCACAACAACATGCATAACCAGATGCTTCATAATGTACTGTGCAGTAATGATGTTAATAAACCAAATTCTTTTTCACTAATGGTTAATTTGCAATGTGCCCTTATCAACACTGAGAGGAAGATGTTAACTAAGTTCACATTTAAGAATCAGATATTCTGAGATTTCCTTTTTTCAAAAGCAATAGTTCAATGCTACCAGATGGTTCTATGTTGGTTGGTAAACATTAGTGGATTTTTAAAAGTATTCTCACAAAAGCATATACACTATTTAAACTTTTGTAGAAGGACATATTTTCTTTTTTCTTTTTAAACTGAGATGTAGAAGATATATAACAGAATATATTTTCTAAAAGCTTAAATAGTGTACTTTTGTGAAAATTTCACCATTTAGCTACCTATGTATAATTTAAATAGTTTGGTAAAAGGCAGAATCTTAAGTACAGCATGTTTTCTCACCTCAGGAGCAAACATGGTCTCATAGGTAGGATTATATTGAACCTCTTTGACAGCAGGGTCAAGGTGAACTCCGGTCTCCAAATCTTCCTAAAAGAAAACCAAATGAACATTAAATATCTGATAACTAGTTGTTTTATTTTAAAACTACACTAAGTCATTTTAACACCAATTTTACGATTATTATATTAGTGCCACATAACTAACAATTTAATAAACAAAGACTAATAAAAGTAACATATATAAGTATAAAGGTTAGAATGTATAACAAATTTTTTCCTTTCAAAATACTGACTTTAACCCATCTGAGCAAATTAAAAATTTCTAAATAAGTTAATATTACTCAAAGCCTTAAATTTAAGAGTCCAACCCCCCTCTTCTATTAACTCAAAAAAAGACCTGCTCTTCTAGGTCTAAATTCAGAAGCACTTTCTTTATTCACCAAACTTTACTAAATATATACTCAGATGGCACTGGTTAGGGACTGCAGAGGAAAACAAAAGAAAGTGGCAGGACCCAAATCTAAATCTCAAGTCTTATCATCTGTCAATGTTTCAACCTTCTTAAAAACCTCATCTCCACTAAATAATCAGTGGTAGTCTCTTTCTTGTGTAACCCTACCACTTATGTATTTTCAGACTATAAGATGCGCCCCTTCCCCATGCCACCCCTGCCCCACATTTGGAATAATGGTTGTTACTGCTGCTGTTGAGTTCTGTTTACATTTACATTCATGAAATATTATATTATTTATGTTATTAAATATTTTACATTTTTTGCTTCAAAAATTTTTTTCCTATTTTCCTCTAAAATCTAGGTGCATCTTATGGTCCGAAAAATATGGTAAACATAGCAATTCCCAAATTGGTATCTCTAGACTGGACCTCTCCCCTGAACTCTAGAGACTTGTGTATCTAACCTTCAATTTGTTATCTTTTCTCCCACTATGTCTAACAGACACCTCTGGTCTTCCTTTCCCTAATGACTCCTTCCAGCCTTCTCTAAGTTTACTACAATGCCATCCTTCCATTTGCTCATGCGAAAATTCCTGGAGTTATCTGACTCTCTTTCACTCTCACCTCAGTCCAATTTATTTCACACCTGGGTTATTGTAATAGTCTCTTAACAGGTCTCCCAGCTTCTTCCTATGCCCAGCAGCCTCACTCCACATAGGAGCCAGTGATTATTTTAAAATATTCATCAGATTATATTATTCCTTTGCTCTTAAACCCTCTGGCACCTTCCCTGCTCAGAATAAAGGCCTAACAAAGGCTTACAAGGCTCATTACCAGTTCAGAAAGTAAGTATGGTTCCCTGCGGTAGTCTTATAGAACATCTTTGTCTTCCTGTATTGTCCTGCCTTAGCTTTTACATACTAAAAAGAAGTTTTTATAGAGGTTTTATTTCCATATTAAACATGTCATAAATATCATTTAATTTAATTGGGACATTAAAGTTATGCTTTGAAATTTTAAAGGAAGTTACATGTCATTTATAAATTATATTTCAGTAAAGCTGACATTACAAAACTGCTGTTATAAAATTACGACATTTGAATCTAACTGGTTGGGAATTTACCCTCCTTGACCTGTCCCTCTTTCTCCCCTCTACCCCAGCCTCTGTCCTCATCTAGCCCTGTGCCTGTGCTCACTGTAGCCCAGCCTCATTGTCTCATATGTCATCCCAGAATTCACCAAAGGACAATCCTGCCTGAGGGTCTCTGGACTTACTGTTCCCTCTTCTTGGAACCTGGATATCTGCATGATTGTTCTCTCTTCTTTCAGGTCTCTGCTCAGTTTTCCTACTTTCCCCTTACACCTTGCTTCAACTATTGCCATTATACTTATCACCACCTGACACATATATATTTATTGTCTACCTCCCTCCGCTAAATATAAGCTACACAAGTTGGATTTTATACGCACAAAAGTATCTTTTTTAAAAATATATTTTATTGATTACACTATTACAGTTGTCCCATTTTTTCTCCCCCTCTGCCCTGTACCCTGCCCTCTCATTCCCCACCTTAGTTCATGTCCATGGATCATACATATAAATTCTTTGGCTTCTCCACTTCCCATACTATTCTTAACCTCCCTCTGTCTATTTTGTACCTACCATTTATGCTTCTTATTCCCTGTACCTTTTCCCCCATTCCCTCTCCTCCTCCCTGCTGAAAAACCTTCATGTGGTCTCTATTTCTGTGAATATGTTCCTATTCTAGTTACTTGCTTAGCTTGTTTTTGTTTTCTTAGGTTTGGTTCCTGATAGTTGTGAGTTTGTTGTCATTTTAATGTTCGTATTTTTTATCTTCTTTTTCTTAAATAAGTCCCTTTAACATCTCATATAAAAAGGGTTTGGTGATGATGAACTCCTTTAACTTGACCTTATCTAGGAGGCACTTTATCTGCCCTTCCATTCTAAATGATAGCTTTGCAGGGCAGAGTAATCTTAAGAGTAGGTCCTTCCTTGCCTTTCATGACTTAGAATACTTCCTTCCAGCCCCCTCTTGCCTGTAATATTTCTTTTGAGAAATCAGCTGACAGTCTTATGGGAACTCCTTTTCTCTTGCTGCTTTTAAGATTCTCTCCTTATCTTTAATCTTGGGTAACTTAATGATGATGTGCCGTGGTGAGTGCTTCCTTGGGTACAACTTTTTGGGGACGTGCTGAGCTTCCTAGACTTCCTGGAAGTCTATTTCCTTTGCCAGATTGGGGAACTTCTCCTTCATTATTTTTTCAAATAAGTTTTCAATTTGTTGCTCTTCCTCTTCTTCTGTTACCCCTATGATTCAGATGTTGGAACATTTAAAGTTGTCCCAGAGGTTCCTGAGCCTCTCCTCATTTTTTTTTGAATTCTTATTATTCATTCTGTTCTGGTTGAATGTTTCTTTCTTGTGGTCCAAACCATTGTTCTGAATCCTGGTTTCCTTCCCATCACTGTTGGTTCACTGTACCTTTTCCTTTATATCACTTTTCATAGCCTTCACTTTTTTCCTGTATTTTGCAACCATACTCTGCCATTTCTATGAGCATCCTGGTTACCAGTGTTTTGAACTCTGCATCTGATAGGCTGGCTATCTCTTCATCACTTAATTGTATTTTTTCTGGAGCTTTGATCTGTTCTTTCATTTGGGCCATTTTTTTTTGTCTTGGTGTCCCTGTTACATAGTAAGGGGAGGAGCCTTAGGTATTTGCCAGGACAGGGCAACCCAGGTTCCTGTGTTGTGGTGCTGTATGTGGGAGAAGGGTCTGAGAGGGAACGATGCCACTTGCTTGGCTCTCTGCCAGCCATCAGTCACTTCCTCCACTACCCACAAGCAAATGGGCCTTTCTGGTGCTGATTCCCAGGTAGGAGGTTTTGTGTACATTCTAGGACCCTGTGGGTCTCTCCAGTGAATTCTCCTGTAAGGCTGGGAGTTTCTCCCGCTGCTGCAGCAAACCCCACAGGTTTTTCAGCCACAAGTTTTGAGGCTTTATTTCCCCACAATGGAACCCTGGGTTGCAGTTGCAGGGTCTGTCTTACTCCCAGTTGTTCCTCCCAGTTTATCTGCATGCAGATGTGGGACTGCCCACTCCACCAGCTGCCTTGCCCACCCCGATTTCCAGCCATCGTCTTGCCATGAGTCCTCTCCACTCAGAATGCCTGTCTCTCTCCTCCTACCAGTCTGGATGAATGTTTCTTCTTTAACTCTTTGGTTGCCGGGCTTCCATACAGTTCAATTTTCTGGCAGTTCTGGTTATTTTTTGTTTTCAAATTTGTTGTTATCCTTATTTTGGTTGTGCGAGGAGGCAAAGTGTACCTACTTACGCCTCCATCTTGGCCAGAGGTCCAAAAGTGTATCCTCAATCACTAGAACTATATCTACCATATCACCATTTTTCTTCTGTTAGCCTCTTGCTGATGGTAGGACACATCTGTCAATACAATGCAAAGGCAATGGAAAGCAACATGGCAAATTTTGCAAAACAGGTGGGGTATCATGACACTGACAGTGATGCCGGGGAAGAAGCAATGCCACTGACAAATGAAGACTTGATAGAATTAGACCATTTAATGACCAAAGACTACAAAACTGACAAGAAAAATAACACCATCGGCACACAGATATTCTTCCAAAATTTTACATATTTTAAAACACCCTTCACCAAAGCAGGCAACTTAGTTTTTCTGCTTCTCAAAGGCAGAGTCCTTCAGATATGATGCCATTAAACTTCCTTCCCCATTAGTTTCAAAACTGCCCAAATCTTTACCATTATCTTATCCTCTTCATGATTTCAATTTCTACCACAAATTTTTATCTGCAGCCTTGACTGCACTCCTGGCCTCTGGATCTACATATCTAACTTGCCTTTTGAACTTTATGGTATGGGTGTTTCACAGAATCAGACTCTTTGCTATGTCTAAAACAGAAGTTGTCATTCCCCCATGACTCAGCCTGCACTCCCTAACAAATCAGGCACTGAGTTTTACAGATCCTACCTCTGCATTATTTCTGCAGCACCTCCACTCCCAACATCCCTTCTTCACATCGCAGCCACCACTATCCTAGTTCAGGGCTTCATTGTATCTTTCCTGGTCTATAAAGCTTCCTTATCAGGTTTAATATTCCCCTACTTTTGCCGCATTAGGCTGATTGCTGATTTTTTAAAATACCAAGCACTTTCACACTTTCTGTGCTATTGGCAATGTTACTCTTTGTTTGTTATGCATTTTCCTTTATTATCATTAAAGGCTAACCTGATGATAATGATGATAATATGTCATCTTATTTTCTCTGATAACTTCCCTCCTTCTGGCTCAAGAAAACTGCTTTTTCATCCACAGTCCTAAGGGATGTTTCACATAACTCTTTACAGCATGTGATATTATATTATTTGTTGCACATGGCCTTTACTTACACATTTTGTATCTTCACTGCCTAGTATTATACAGTGCACTCAGCAAATGTTCAATAAATATTTCTTAAATTAAACTGAAGAAAAGTCAAATCCATAGAATGAAGGCTGACCAAAATCAATAAATTTGGCGATCATGTCACAGAAAACCTTTGCCAGAGCAATTCTGGCAGTAGGTGGGAGATGGGAAGC